ACTAAGAACCAGTCAAAATCTGTGCAAAATTTAGCTTATCAAACAATTTACCATTTATAATTAGCGCGGATGTGCCAAAAGCAAACAGTATCAATTTTAAGTGACTTCAGCTTTTTATGCATTGCCAGTCTCTAAAGGGGTAGATTAAAAACTTGACAATCTGGACAGGGAAATCAACCAGGTGGGGCTTATCAGAAAGAGGGCCTATTAAACTTCAACAAAGGCCAACATTCTTCTAAATTACGACTTAGATTCAGGGAATAGAATGGGAATATTTCTTACTATGTTTAACCACACTCAGGGTAGAGTTTTTTCATGAAGTAAGAGGGTGTCATTTATAACAAATTTGAACTCCTCAATAGGGAGGGAAGGGGCAACTTATCAACAAGGAGCAACTTATTGACAAGGAAGGCTTATCTGAGCATTCATTGTAATTAAGTAATCATGTACTTCATTTGAGACCTACACCTTTCAGCCATACCTTGAACATAGATGATCACTCAGCAGAGAAAATGAATGCAGTCCAAGTTCAAGTTTTGTATTATGATATGGACATTTTTCTTTTTGCAGTTCAACTGCTTGATTTAATAATGTTCTAAGTCTATGTGGTGGAAGCATCACAGATGCTGGTAAAAATGCTGAAGATAAAAATAACACATAACACTATCAGTAAACACAGTGTGAAAAAAGCAGACAGCAGTAAGAAGTATTAAAAGCTGCAGTAGACCAACTATAACTGCAAATATTATTGAAAACCCTGCTACACATAAAGGCTTTCTGGCATTTAACTCCTTAAGCAGAAATTTGTTTTTTTTTCACTTAATGCTACACCTACATGTACTGTACATCAACTGTTCAATCCTTCTTTCCTATCCTAGCTTAACATTTGCCTCACATACTGATATTCAATATCAGTATGGAGATTGCTTCAGACAACACTGATCCTTGCTTTAAACATCAAGGAAATCTCTGTAGCTCAGAATTTTTTCTTAAAACCACACTTTTACTAAATAAAGTCATATTTTTGTACCATTTATACAACATGGTCCAAATGTTTCCTTCCTTTGAATTTTTCAAACCAGTATTATTTTTCATTTTTATAAATCATCAAAGACAAAGATAAAAGTAGTTTGAAAATTCTTGAATAACAAAAAATTTTGAACCACAAGGTATAAATCAGAAGATTTTTAGAAATTTGTATATGTATAATGCATCAAAAACGTGCAATTTTTCTTCATGGTGCTGTCAGTAATGACATATTTTGTAGTTATACTGTAATTTACAATATTCGAAAAGGGCAAGTCTAAAAATAAACCACACGCATATGTTACTTTTTCAATAAGATTTCTAAAATCACAAAAATCAAACAAAGAGATATAAAATTGGAGCCTTGAAAATGACGATGAAAGTCAACATTGCAAATAAAAAAAGAAAAAAATTCTTGGAGGTGCTCGGCAACCAGATACAACATACATTAGTTTGACCATGAAGGAAAAATTGATTATTTCTGACCATTGCGACAAAAGAATTTTAAGAAATGTGGCTAAAGCTGTTCAGCTTGAATTCATAGAGGATCAACTTACATTGAAGCCTATCCATCAGCTTGTGTCTTGAGAGGTATCCTTTTCCATTCCATTCAGCTTTTTTATGAAGTTCCTCCTTTGTTGTATACATTATTAATCTAAAAGAAATCATTTCTAGCTGTAAATTCAGGACTTTTAGGGACTTTTTAGGTCATCAAACTGTCCCAAATGCACAACTAATAGAACTATAGAGATTACAAACTTAACAGGTATAGTGTTTCAAAGTACATGTAAGGTTTTTACAGTTCTAAGAGTGATGCTTATTTCCCTCAAATCACTTTGAATAATGCAAAGTTGGTGTCAATGACTAAATGACAGTAGTTCTGTTTAATAGTAGAAGATTATAGGTATAAGATATCAAGCAGACCTCTTGAGGTTAAAAATAAGTCTCAGAGCAAACGAGTTCAAACTACAGCCATGGTTTAAAGAGTATCTTATTCTTAAGATCAAGAAGGAAACTAATCCAAATGGATCAAAATATGTTTCCAACTGAAATTTCTTTTGAAGCTTAATTATGACATCACCACTGCACTATATGTATATCTGCTTACATGTACAACTCTAAAAGTATATGAAAATCCAGATAGGAATATCAAGGAAAAAGGCTCAAGTTATGTCTAATAAAACCAGTGATAAAATTACCCTCCTTAAGTGTTGTGCTTACTTGGAAAATCCAAGCAGAATTTGACAAGATCAAGTTAAATGAAATTCAGAGAGCCTTTTTTCTTGTATTGCTTCAACAACAGCTCTTACAATTTTCTATTACATCAACAGGATAGTTGAACAAATAACTCTTGCCTTTCTGATTAAAAGACCACATAATTTCCTCTTTCACCCACAGAAATCAATAAGAATAAATATAATTTCCTTTCGCAGAACAAAATTTGTCAGAGCACCCAAAAAATATTAGAAGAAAACTTTATGAATTATTGTTGTACTAATTCAATCATGCATCCTACACAGTGACTTTCTGATATATCAAGGTTAGAGATTAGATAAATGCTAAAATAACACAAACAGCAATAATTTGACCAAAATGAAAGTTGATGTACTTTGATTAAGTCGTTATGAGACTAAACAAGTGATTTATACAATATTTGCTTCCAAAGATGATGAATGGCTGTAGATTACAAAATTATTGGATCGAGATGTTATTTCCCACAAAATCAAAAGACAGCAACTTGAGAAGAAATAACAAGTTTTCAAGAATTTTTTTCTACACCAGGTCACTTTTGAGAAACCCACTGATTGGGAAATTAAATATTAAAATAAAGAATAGAAAATTAACAAGGAACCATATGTTAAAGTTACATTTAAAACTACAAACTCAGGCATCCTGGAAGTCTTCATGTAAATATCATCACCAACTATGCCCTTTGTATTTTGCCTGTCTGATTACCATTTGAAGGTAAACAAGGGGCTGGCAAATGCTTCATTCAAATAACTTTATTCAAATAGCTTGATATCTAACATGGTAAGCCATAAAAAACCAGAGGGAAGCCATATATGTAAATTTATTTCGTGGCTTTGTAGCGAAATAAAACACTTACCCACTAAGCTGATGAACCCTCTCTCTGTTACATTTTAGAGGAGTTAGTTCTGTTCTTAAACAATACACGGCCTCTATACGGTTCTCTTCTTCGAGGAATTCTAAGAACTTCTGCTCCAACAGGCAAAACCTCATTTTCTTTGAAAGAGTACATAACGCACACATTAAAAAAAAGATGCAATATTTAAAGGCAAAACAAATTACACCAGTTCAAAATCTTAACTCCAAATCCTGCCTCTAATACAGGAAAAATGAGGAGAACAAGATTAACTCGAGAACATGAATTAAATTTCATGTAATGACTGCAGGAATTAAAACAAATGAACGCCACGGATATTGAATGGGGCCTTTGGACCTGTCGGATAACTTAGCCAAAACCAAGCATAATAAATACTAACCGAGATGTCTTCTTTGTTCTCAACTAAGGGCCTGAGCTCTTTCAAGATTGCGTCCGCCTTACAAACAGAGAAAAAATCCGGTAAGAAAGATTGAACCTCCCACAAAGACATCTGAACGAAGCATTGTCCACAAAGACAGCTTACAGCGAAGAAAGGATTCATAATTGAAAGCCAAACACAGCGATCTGAACTAACCCTTTCCCAATCACCGGCCATTACACTCTCACGGAACATAGCCGCTGATGGGTGCTCTAGTCTACAGCCCGATTCCTGCATAAGGACATCGACTGATTTGCTGGGGGATAAAATAAAATAAACATCAATCGTATACGCCACGCAACAGGAAACCAACAACGAAGTTAGGTGCCAATGAAATTGCGTCTTCTACGATTCCATATTTCTAACGCGACTCACTTCAAGCCCAAGCCTTGCAAATGCTGGACTATTAGCCGTACGACATCTTCGTCGCTTCTAGGAACAATTTTCCTTTTAAGATGGCCTTTGCTGTCTCCATTGGCTATACATTCACCATTAGAGGTACTTGTTTCGCCATCACTTCCACTAGAAGTCCGTTTCGATTTGTGCATATCGGACTCGAGGTCCACTGAAAGGCGCGCCCTTTTTTGCGGTGGTGGAGACAGTCCACCTTGCTGTTCGTCGTCAGACGAGGCCAGGGTAGCTGAAGACCACGAGGATAGCCAGTTTTGAACAAATTTCTAGGTAGAAGTAGCGAACAAACGACAGCAAACCTGGACAGCAACACAAAGCTAATCACTCACTACACACTTTCCTTCATATTGTGAACTGACGTCATCGAAGTCAACATTGAGGGGACTGGGTTCTAACAAAACAATTGCCATATTTGGATAATGTCATATTGTCGGTTCGTCAGGTCTCACAAAGAGAGAGGTTACTATAGCAACTGTAAAGTCGACAATCACATGTAAAAAGTATGCTCCCTAAATATATTGAATTTCCTCATGAAATGAGAAAAAAATGTATTCATTACAAAGATATCATGACAGCTACGATAAAACTTACATTTTATACAATATGCGTAGGATAGAGAGGGCGGGCAGAAAAATATTCTACAATATACAACACGGCAGGCAAAAGCAGCATATCTGAAGATTCATAGTACCGGAATACAATCTGCGTCCATCCTAAGCCCATTTCTGGTGTCAAAGAGTCAAAATCATTACTAGTTGTCTTTTCTTTACGCGTAAATTAGACTCCTCGATCACCTTCGTGAAAATGATAATTTTGTCTGATCATCTTAATTTATAATGTAAATTGGATTAAGAAACTCTCTACGGTGGCCAATTTACATTATCAACTCAGCTGATGAAATCAAAATTTTTGGTTTTTATTACTTTTCAACGACGCAGCACCGCAGTTACCCCCTATGTTCATGGAAAAGAGGCTAGTTTCTCGGCTGTCATGAAAGAGAGGCTATTCTTACCCAGATCTCACGCTGATGCCTATGGCCTAATCCAATATGGCTTCCGTAGGCTGCCGCAACATCAGCCGGTTATTTCATCGCATACGGCTTTATAGAAGTTATACCACAAACATTTCTGTAAGTGTAAATTTAGATTACCAGGTAAAGATCATATCACCTTCCTAAAGTTTATCTTTTATCTCCAAAGCGACAGTTTATTCGATGCGGATTTCGGCAAAGTGCAAGTAGGCTACAAAATACAGGTCGGTGGTGTGGTGCCTTAAATTGATTGAAAATTTTCGTGTTTCTTGTGTGTTGTTCTTGTCTTTAAATGACTTAACCTTGTATCTTTAGCGACTAAGATTCAAGCCGCAGGAATCTTGGGTGGAAATAGTCAGCGAACGTGAGTGTAGAATAATTTTACTAACTATGAACCCTAAGTTTGACTTATTTCGCGTGCATGCACTCTCTAAATTAGGATAAACCGAGGCTTGATAATCCGTGTATTAGATATAACTTTGTTATTACAAGGAAACTGCCTCGAGTGAAAAGGCTGTCACTTCAGATCTTAGTATTTTAGCGTGTAAAATATTGTAGAGGTATTTAGTGGTAATACACTATTGTACATAATCAAAGTCCACTCCTACTTCTGCTGAGAGGGACTGGGCTTTGATGCTCACAACCGACACAAATTTTGATCTGTAAGAATTCCATCAATATTGTGCTTTTATCTGTCAAATTGGAGATTTGTTTTCCTTTGGCCTTTTGGAAAATATCATACTTGTTGCCCCCATTTCCGCATATGGCTTTGTCTTGAAGAAAGTGCTGCTCTCTTTTTGTTCCTATTTTTGGAACAAGGTCATAAGTCAACTTATTTTAATGCCCCTGCATTAGCTGCCAAAAGAATAGGCAAATGTTGGTCATGGCCAATTTATTCCTTAAGATTTTTTTATCTCTATATCTTATATCTACAGGCTACTTGGTTGGAAGGAAAATAAATACTTTCATTCATCCTCAAACCTTTGTAAGTGTTGTTAGAAAACTGTTCTTATGTATATGTGCACAGGAAGGTAAAATTTCTTGAAAAATGTTACAATGATTTAAGATTTCAGCCTCTTGAACGAGTTGTACCCTATTTAGCAATAATTGTACCTAACATCTGCATGCATATTTTTCCATACTGTTCTCCATATATTTCCTTAGGTGCTGACTAGGAGAATTTTTTTAACAATGAAGAGCTTTTTTAGATGGTGATCATTCCTTTATTCTTGTGGCCTCAGTGTGTGTGATTCAGCAGTGATATTGTAAGGAGAATTTAGATTCCAGTCACTTGTAGGGGTCATTATGTTAGTGAGCACTATTCCTTAGTCTTGTACTAAAAGTTTTTGTTTCATTTGTAGAAAATGGTGTTATTCTACTAGTTACTTTGGTACTCAGGATGTATAAGTAGTTGGCTCCATAGAATTATCAGGCAGGATGTTGAATTGTTTTTATTCTTTTGTTTGGTTAAATTCTTACAGACTCTGAGAACTACATAATAGTGAATACACCACCATTTGCCGAGTCAGTTACGGAGGGAGATGTCAGATGGGATAAAGGTATGTCATAGAAAGTGAGGTGCAATTTGTGATTACATGGCACTGCTTAAAGCCAATCAGATTGCAAGGATCATTCATTTGGTGATTTCAAAATGGATATAAAAAGAATGAGTATTTCATGGATCTCTTTTTTGACAGCTGTTGGAGATACTGTTGCTGAAGATGAGGTTGTTGGAGAAATTGAAACAGACAAGGTAAAGTAATGTGGAAATATGATTATAATGTAAATATGCAATAATATTCTTGTAGTTGTAGAGTGTAACACATAAATCAGCCAAACAAGCATGCCAGTAATTAGCAAGCAATGAACCTACTGTACCTTCTACTTAAAAAAAAAAAAACATACAATAGTGAATAAACAATCAAACAAATGTAACATTTTTCACTGGCATGTGATTTATGTTAAAGAGGGCAGGGTTTTCCAATAGAACACTTTACCAACCACTGCTCGGCTGACTAGACATCACCAGACCTCTTGGAGTGAGTTTCAAGTTTAAATTGTAATGTTAAATCACATTTTCCCTCTGATTTAAGACCAGTATACCAGTAAGTGCCCCTTCAGCTGGAACAATTGCAGAGTTCTTTGTCAATGATGGTGATAAAGTGGAGAAAGGTCAACAGCTGTTTAAACTTGCTCTTACAGGTATAAGTTCTACTCTTAAATGTCCTCATCTTACAATCCATTGTATGAGTGCTGTTTGTAGTCAATTTGCTTGAGAACCTAAACATGTTGGCTAGCCCATTTTTTTAGAGGAGATGTTGTCCTCCAAGACCAAGAGTATTAGTAGCATCAGAATGTCATGATTAACCACACTGTTTTGGAGTTAACTTTTTTACAAGTAAATTTACTTGAAATCTATTTCCAGGGGATGCCCCTCCAAAGGAGACAACAACAGAAAGTAAGGCTGCGGCTGAGAGTCCAGCACCAGCAAAGGAGATTCCAAGGGAGGAACCATCTGCACCAGCTTTTAAGATCCCTACCACTCCTCCCCCAGGTACAAACACTGTCGGCTTCCTTTGTGAGAAGTGACTATATAACTCATCAAAATTGTAATACATTTTCTAGCTTACCAGCAGGTAAAGAGAGTAGACCAAGTAATCAAGTATTGGGTAAAGTCTTGATATGACACTCCATTCTTGAGAACAATTGGCAAGAAATGTGTAGCAACTGCTGTAAAAGGGAAATAATTATTGCTAGGTAGATCTAGCAAGTTGAAAGTTCAAAAGGACATCTCATGTCAGTGAGCAGGGTTCGATCAGATGAGAGGCTTATTTCCTCAATGAATAATGTTGAAATTGAAAGATTAGGTGTGCAACCACATAAAGTTAAATATTAGGCAGCTTGTTGTATTACCCAGGGTAACCTTCTGACTAAAATGTTTGATTTCTTCTTGGCTAACCGCACACTGAAAACAAATTGCTTTTGTTCATCTGAGAGCTCTGTGACTGAATGCTTCCAGTAAAGAGTAGGTTATAGACTAATTGTCGAACTGCAAGTTTTCTTGTCCTTTTGCAATTTCAGCTCCTGCAGTACCAACCCAACCAATTGCAGAAATCAAACCTGGCCCCCCTACCCCTGCCCCTCCCCCACAGCCAACAGATGCTCTTCCAGCTGACATTCTACCCAAAGGAGCCCGCTCTCAACATAAGGTATCATAGTTAAACTTTGAACTTGTATTGGGTGCCTCCTTATAAGCTAGTACCCTATTTTTTTTTTTCTTTTGGTACCAAAAATTTGGAAACCCCAACACATCCTTTCAGTGCCCTGTCGTCAGATTTAACCATTAAACCCCTAAGAGTGATTAGCATTTTATTTATCCTTGCAATATCACCCTGAATTAAGCAATAAGGTCACAAGAATAAGGGAAATGATCACTTATTAAAGAAGCTTTTGATTGTCTTAACAAATTACTTAATATGCATACTGATGTTAGGGTGTAAAGGGTTTTAAGACTTTTTTGGATTTGAAGGTTGTATCTCAAGGGAATGTTGAAGGAGAGGGGAATAGGAGTGCTTATAGAGTAATTAAACGGAGTTTTTCACAAATTTGTTTGCATGTAGGCAAGGATGACAAGAATGCGTCAGAGGATTGCTCAGAGACTTAAAGATTCACAGAACACTTATGCCATGTTAACAACATTTAATGAAGTCGATATGAGGTTGGTAGGCATATTTTCTATGGCTGCTGCAGTACCAAATAAATGTCATCAATTGATAATTGGTCTTTATCTTTTTTCCCCCATACTGCAATATCACTAAACAGCAACTTAACAGGCTAATTATATTCCCATCTTTGACTTACAGTGTTGTCATTAATAACTTTTCACTTTTCATGTAGTTTAGAAACAATGCATCATATTTGTTTTCATTCTTTTACTTGTTTGTTCTTTCCTTCCCTCCAGTCATGTCTCTGAGATGCGGAAAAAGCACAAAGATGCATTTTTTAAGAAGCATGGTGTCAAACTGGGATTCATGTCTGCCTTTATCAAAGCATCTGCTCATGCCTTGCAGAGTGAGCCAACAGTGAATGCTGGTCAGTTGGTTATCTGATTCTCCAGTCTACCTTCTTGTTTATTCAGTTTATCGTGTATTGTAAACAATAATCTCACGAGTGCACATTGAATATGAGATGATAGACAGCCAAGGAGGCCCATAGGGCTGTGTTGGATATTTATCCTCTTATATCCAACAAGGGTATATACATTTTCCCAACTTTACCTTATTTTATAAGAACTAACAGCATGTTACAATGTACAAAAACACTTCCAGTTTAACTTGTCTTTATGCGTGCAGATGGTTTAGTGGCTCATAACCCATGATAGCTAAGCCAATAAAAACTCTGGAATTGCATTATCCAATGATCCAATTTTTGATAGAAGGAAGTATAGCATGAGCCAGAATTGGACTAGGATTCTGACAGCTCTGTAAGCAATTTTTACTGATATTTTCACTTAGAAATTATTACTGGAACAGTTTAACCCCTTAACTCCAATGAGTGACCAAGACAGAATTTCTCCTTAATAATTGTCAATACAATATCAAGCAGACAAGTGACGAGAATAAAGAAAAGTAACAATAAGAGGATTATTAGTTGATCCAACACCAATTTCTCTAAACAAACATCATAAGAATTGTATGACAGACAGTAAGGAGAATTACTAATGAGATCTCTATTGTGAGATGTTATGAGATCTTGTGAGTTAAAGGGTTAACTGATGAGAAGGATAGTGAGAACTTTGCATGCTGGGTAATCATGGTCTTCTTTTCATTTTTCTTGTAGTGATTGAAAACAACGAGATTGTATACAGAGATTATGTGGACATAAGTGTTGCAGTGGCCACGCCTAAGGTCTGTATAACTTCTGGAAAAGGCATTTTATTTTACCTTGCATTGTGTTTAACTTGAAACAAAAGCGCTATAGCAGGCTGCATGTGTTAATTCATCAAATTTGATTGATTGAAATTCAAGCAAAATTACTGAAGGGCAAGAGACTTGGGAAACTTGAAAGCAGCGATGCTTTTATTTTACTCTCTTACAGGGACTTGTTGTGCCAGTAATTAGAAACGTAGAAGAAATGAACTACGCCGACATCGAAAAAGCGATCAATGCAATGGGAGAGAAGGTACATATATGTGTTATTCTTAGAAGCACCTACTTATCACGTCCCTTTCTACTGGAACGTTAGGCCACGTTCGGTACCAGTCACGGAATCCTGAGCGGTGTTTCTTCCTGTACATCACCCCTTCCTTCCTTCCTTCCTTCCATCTACCTTCTTTTCATGCTTTTTCTTTCTCAAACAGGTATTGTGAGCACATAATTATGAAAGCAATGGCTCGCTCAACCAATGCTGACCTGTTCGGTTTCTTGAGGCTTGTGTCCATCTCTTCGCGCACTTAATTTTAATGAACCGTGTGTATTAATCAGTTCCGGTTTCCCCTCCACTATTGACATCGTATTTTTCTAACAAGCCAAAGCTTTTACAATGCGTTTAAGAATCACGAAACCATCATTTGAGAAGCAGTTCATTCCGTCTCCGAAAATCAGAGGCTCTGACATGTTATTTTTCAATAAACTTGAGGTCCGAATCAAAAGAACATAGCTGCATCCCTTTATTTTTTGTCTCCAGGCACGAGCAAACGAACTGGCAATCGAAGACATGGACGGAGGAACATTCACCATCTCTAATGGCGGAGTATTTGGTTCCATGATGGGCACACCCATTATTAACCCGCCCCAGTCTGCCATCCTGGGCATGCACGCCATTGTTGACAGACCGGTGGCTATAAATGGAAAGGTTAGTGGCCTGGTAATCAATCTGTAATGAAAACTGATCAGATTTATCAGCTTACATTCTGTTAACTTTTTTCGCCAACGGAAGTTCAGCGTTTCTTTAGAAATTATCGGCCACCACATTGAAAAGGAGCCTCTATCTTTCAAATAAACCCTCAGGAAAAAGACAAGTTAGCCTGTATCCTTCTATTTATTGAGCGCCCCAGGAATTGGAAGGGGGGGTTACTTGGATACGAAAAAAAGATTATAGAAAAATATCATTTATTTGTTTTACAGCTCTCTCTCTCTCTTGAAGTGAAGAGAAAGATATGTGGTAACGGTAACTTATAGACGTACCACGTATGCCGCTTGTGGGTTGTAGACTCCTATTTGGGGTACTCTGCCCAGAATGCGATTAAACCTTACACTCCCACGAGTAACCCAAGGAGATATTCTCTTTACGGTATCACTAGAGGGAAAGTTATTAGAAACGCATGGCAGAAAGTGTGGAGAATTGACCTTTGGGTTGTATTTCAGGTTGAGATTCGTCCCATGATGTACTTAGCCCTCACTTATGACCATCGTTTGATAGACGGCAGAGAAGCAGTAACATTCCTTAGGAAGATCAAAGCTTCGGTAGAAGATCCTCACACGTTAATCTTGGACTTGTGATCTCCTGGCTGATTATGCTGGGAAATTTATAGTGGACAGGACACTTATCAGTTTTAGTCGATGTCAAGTTTATGGCTAGCCTTGGTCAGAGAAATGTTTATGAATGTCGGTATTGTCACCTGTACTCGATGTGAAAGAAAAGAGTCAGTTATTAATGGGGTTTTTAAATTGATATTCATTATTCAGTGCGACTGTTCTATTAAGTCAAACTCACCTGTTTAGGACTTATTGTCACGAAAAATACATCCGTGTTTTTTTTAAGTTTTCATTGCAGCCATTACATTTGTCTCGTGGCGCAACGCGCTCTCTCCCCCAGGTGGGGAAGAGAGCGCATTTCGTGACGAGACCAAAAAATGGCTGCATAGGAGTGATATTCTTACCAAGTGGTGAAAAGTTTGCCATTTGCCAGTGAAGAGTAACGTTTGCCGAATTGTTTCTTGAAGTTGTTCATCTGTCATGTTTTAGTGATATCAAATAAAAAAATCCACCTAAAACTTTAAAACTTGGGGTTAAGTCCTGTTTAACTATAATTTAATTATCAACGCAGGTCAAGATATTAGCCGGGTTCTTTTTTCGCGTTTTTATGGACCGAGACGAAGTCGACGTCCATTTCTCCACCTTAAGATAACACATAATTTTCTATAATTTATTATACTGAAACCGTAGCTTGGAAGTATGCTCTCCTGCTTAAGCGCTGGGGCACGAGCAGTGAAGTTCGCTAGATTCGAGCTGGCAAGCGAAATAAGAGTGCGAGAGATCTGTGGGGTAGGGTAAGGTGGATAAATTATGCTGGCATGTGACAGAAAACGGAAACAAGTCATTGCTTAATCAAATCTAGTGGCATTTCGGGTTCTCAGCCTAAACGTTTGTTGTAAGGAACTCTAATTTCATGTTTCGCCAATCGAATCATTTGCAACAGATATCAAACTTTCGCCACGCTGAGGCATGTTTTCCGTTTATATCCCGTTACAAAATGTCTTAGTCTTTGATCTAAACTAAGGGAAGATTCCTTTGAAACGCTCCCAGTATTTCTTCTGCTCCAGCTCCACACTTAATAATTAAAATATTATAATCCTAGACAATTATCACTCTAACCAATTGTAATTATTTTTCGTTGAACTCTTCCATTACTTGTGGGTAGAAAAACTGTCATCCTCCATGGAAGAGATCAGCTGGTCTGCGCTTTCCTTTGTGTTGGTGAAGCAAAGTGTTATTCGTTCAACATAGCCTCGTATCCTGACTGCAAAAAAACAATATCTGTGTGATCTGTGGGACACTGACAAGTACCAAGAAACTAAAAGTTTCATCATTACAGTCCGCTGGTCAGAGGTCTTTTGCAAGATTTCTCTCTTTTTTTTTTTTCTTTCTTTTTATTTTTTCTAGTTTCTATTTTTTCTGAAAGGGATCAAAACAAAATACTGTTGTCAAGAGATATTTCCTTAACTTTTAGTCTCCATGTGAAAGTACTCCTTACAAGGAAGGTGCTCTCTGTGTTCCTGAATATGAATAGAACTCCTATCACCGTGACAGTAAGCCTGGATTCTGTGGAACTCACGGTTCTTAACCTCCACACAGATCACGGACACCTTAAGATCGCTTCGATGGCTAGATGTTAAACAAAGACGTAAGTTACATGGTTATAAATGTCTTAATCTTTTGTCACTTAGCCACTTATCAAATCAATTTTGTTCACCGCCGTCTACTACCCATAACAGAAAGACGAAGCAAAGCCTTCATATTTCATCTTACAAAGTTTCCGCCGGTCAGTGCACCTTTATCCATTATCGCGGTGTAAAAATATGAAACAGCCAGAACAAGGATTTAGAACAAATAACTGTATCTCCAAAGTTTTTAAAAAAGGTTTAATTAATCTATTAATGTGCAATGTAAAGTAGATTTGGACGTATCATTGCAAATAGTTTTTCTGATTTTTTTGGTGATCTAGTTTTTTTCTGTATTTCATGCTGGTGCTGGAAGCCCTCGTCAGGGACTGACGCTTAATAAAGCATAAACTATGCATGTGTATATGCTTGAGTGCGTATGTGACCCCTCATAAAGTGACTAACCCCAAAGGTTCTTAAGATAAAGAGCAGACTTATCACAATTGCGACAGCTTTCGTAACACAACCTTTTTAATACCGTACATCAATTGTAGAAAGTCTTTATTCTCTGTCTCGCTTTTCATTAATAGAATCTTCTTTAGAACAAAAGAATAGCTCGGATGATGGCTTAACGGCTAACGGTTAAGGTTTTGGCCACTTTACGGCTAACGATTAATTCATTTCGTTATACAAAGCTAACAACAATATTTTTAAGGTTAACTTTATTTAGGACTAACGGTAAACGCAATTGAGACTGTCTTAACCATTATCTTGACCTCGCGACTGAGCAATAAGGCGTCTACATCACGACGTTTCCCATAAAAAGAAGGTACTAGGTTTGAGTGGTTATATTACGACCCATTCAAGGAGGTTCATTTCAAAACATTTTGTTTGCAGAAGGCAACGTTTGGGTAACAACATACTGACAATGTTTTTCCTTCAATGAAAACACTTGTTCTAAAAAGTAAATTCTAGTTTAACCGGTTCTTCAGGATTCGTTGTGACGCATCCGTCGCAACATAAAAGTTGGTTCCGACATTTTTATGCAAAGCAGCCAGTCCCTCAGGAATAAACAAAGTTGTTTCTGGTAGTACAACTCTGGTAGTCGATTGAGCTTGTGTTAATTATACTGTTGATCAAAATTTTAAAGAAGTAAGGTGTCATTTCTTAATGAAGTGGTATTCATGCGTAACGTTAACGCTTTGAAATGTTACGTAACGAAGCCGTATATTTTTCAATTGTGCATGTAATGCAGAGAAACTTTCGTTGAATGTTCAAAAAAAAATGCATCAAAAAAAAAAGGTCAAGAAAGGTAACTTGCTCGCAAGAGAGATCTCACTCCATTGTACTGGTACTACCGTATTTATTAACCAATAATCTAGCTGAGAGCCTAAACTTTAGAGATTTAATGATAGGCCTAAGCTTGTTAAAAAACTCTTACACATCCCAGGTTTCTTAGCAAGAGTTCACCTTTGGTTGCTGAATCGAAAGAGATCTTCTGAAAGTGCATCTAGTAAGAAACATGTTTTGGTCATTGAATGAATAAACACAACCAAATAAATATTCAAACGTTTATTGAAACAACAAGCAAATCAGCTGGATTGTGAATATTAATTGAACTTTTTGCAATATGGTAATTACTCACGTTTTTCCATTTTTTTACAGTACATTTTGCAGTAGCCTGAAACAAGGATTTTTGAATTAAAACCTGAAGAAAATAGCCGTTCAGAAAGTATCGAGTATATGGAACAACTTGATACATGATAACAAAACTTCTGAAAAAAATATCCAATTTTCAAACATCATCGACTCAAAACGCTCTTCGAGTTGTTGTTTCCAAGGTCCGTGATAATTAGCATCCTTGCGTAACGGCTTTGTCCACGATTGATTACGCTGTAGGCAAAGATTTTTAAAGTAAAACAGGAAGAAAATAAAACTCGAAAGTTGGAAAGCATCAAGCATATGGAATAATTTGATGCACAACTTTTTAAAAGAACTCGCAATTTCAAATGGCATCGACTAAAAACGTTCCTCGATCAATTTCATCAAAATTATGTAGCAGAGCTTTACTGGTCACCAAGCTTGTGTAAAAGCAAAAGACAATTATACCTGAGTATATTGAGCTTGTGCATTGATTAAAAAATAATAGAAAAAAAGCCTGCCATCGGTATGCGACACGTTCATTTCCAAGGGGCTACGGGCAATGTTATGCCAAGTGCAGAATAGACGGTGCAATACTGAGGAATCACCTTGCGCAATATTTGATGGATCAGAGAGAATTTACATCCTTAGAATATAATTTAATTGCGTATTACATAATAAGATACAGTAGGTTTATGAGCACAATGTAGTCACAATGCGCGTAGTACCAGGGGTATTTTATAAACATCGTTATATCGTTAGCCTAGCTATCTGGTAAGGCTCCTTGTTGGAAATAGGCAAGGTGCTGCAACTGTTTCGCCAAGTTCGTCCACCGTACTACGATTACCGCAGCGAATGATGCAATCGTCTCACAAGGCTGATTCAATTCAACCCGATCTTTACCAGCATGGTTAACATCGAGCATAATCGTTTCAATTGAATATTCTTTTGTTTGAGTAAATTTATTCCTATAATTACGAACATTTTGACGACAATGCTCTGGTTGCGAAATTTCAAGAATTTCGAACAGCCCCACAGGAATTATGTTAATTGTTTATTTTCTTTGTTGCCTTCGTACATGTTATTTTATTAAGCACTCGTGCAGTCTAGACGTTGTGGTTGTTGTTAGACCGGTGCAACAGCTAGAAGTTCGAACCAGGTCAAACAATTTACGATTCGAATCATGCTGTTATTACAAAAAATATCATGGTTTTTTACTGGAGAACGTTCTCAAGATAGTAGATGGTCATGGTTTGTATGTATTTCTGCAGCAGTTATCAATGGTGCGAATCTTGGTTTTGTGCTAAGCTTTGGGGTCCTTTTCCCAGAGCTGATGGAATACTTTGGAGAGACGGGGGAAAGAACAGGTAAGTTGAGATAAAACGAAATCAATTTAATCCTTTCTGAAAGCGCTTTTTTGTCGGAAACAATAAAATGGCCGAACAACGGAAGAGTAAATACCAGGCGCTCTTGAAAATCTCTATCAATCTATGATATTTCGCCATATTTTTGCGTTTTGTTTGGAAATACAAATCAGTGTCTAAAAAGCACTGAAAAGCCGTGTTGAAATCTCTTCGTAGCAGCTCAATGGGTGTTTTGGCATCAACGGCCTTCTGCGACAAATTGCCATTTGCAAACTGGCATCTAAATTGTAATATTCAGACCCCTCTTGCCAAGTTTTACTTCATCAAAATTTCGACTAACAACAGGTCACTTTATTTCTGAATTTCAGTGGGAACTTAACTTTGTGTTACTGATTCAATGAACGCAGATACCTTTCCATTTGTGATGTCTGATTTGTCTTTAAAACATTACTCCAACATTAAATTTGATGTTGTGCGACGTGGAACCAAGATGTATTCAAAATAAGCAAAGTAGGCCGTTTTAATTCAACCAATAAGGAAATAGGAGCAAACTTCCCAAAAATAGGAGTGCGGCGGGTCGATCCTTACGCATAAACTACAATTTAATTTTTTTTTTTTTTAAGTCTGAAATTCTTTATTTCCTAAAATTGGTTCCGGGATCAATTCCTCGCTTTCCATGCATCACTCAAACTCAATTTATTTCAATGTATCATCTCCGAACTTAGCTGCTAAACTTGTGTCTTGATGACCTAAACTATTGCAGTAGAGTCTCACTGGGAGTAGCTTTGAAGGTTATCTGTGAGGTCTTTGACGGTTGACGATTAATAAGTAGATAGAAGATTTCTTCAATTAGTTAAAATCAAAACAATTATTTTTATTTTTCAATATTAATTACAAATGTTATTCAAACCTATTCAGTGTACTAGGTGAAATAAAGCGTCGTTTGAATATATCTAGTACTAACTAAAGGCCTAATCAAACCCACGCAACATTTCAACGCAACATCTTGCAACCTTAATGGATCGTGCTGCGAGATAATGTGAAGGAGCTGGCCAAACGTGCGCAACATCTGGCAACATTCAAAAGTGTTTCAACAAAAATTTTACCATTTTCAAACTTGTTCCACCACCATGCAACATCTTGCAACATGTTGTTACAGGGTAGCCAAGCGTGTACAACACGTTGCGCGCAACAATGTTGAAAGAATTGTTTAAAAGATATTACGCTGAAATGTTGCATGGCCGGGCCTTAACGAACAAGCTCAGCAAAACCTTGCTGATATTCTACCAGCCCTGATCATTGTAAGTTCGACGCGAAATGAACGACCCGACCCAGACCTCCCTGTTTTTTTGCCCCACCGCTACTCTCGTCTCTTTTTATATGAGAAATTCGAGAATCCCTATCCACTCTTTCTTATATCGTCTACTTTGTGGCGAAGTTCGCCGCTCAATGTCAGCGCGCCGCGCGGAATTCTGGGAGTGTTTCTTTTTTTTTTTTTTTAAATTATTATTCGCGTATGAAAAATGGTTTTTCGTTTATCAGATGCCAGTAACATGGTCTTCTTTCCATTCTTATCAGCTTTAGTCGGCTCAATTGCAGTGGGAATGGTTTGGCTTGCAAGTCCGCTGGTCGGTTATTTCTGTGATCGCTTTGGTTGTCGGGTCACGTGTTTCGTAGGAGGCACGTTATGCATGGCTGGCCTTGTGTCGACGTCATTTGTTCCAAACCTCACTTGGATGTACTGTACGTATAGCGCAGTGTATGGTTTGGGAACATGCTTCATCTACAATCCTTGCTTTCTTATAATTGCCAAGTACTTCATGGAGAAGCTATCCATTGCAACTGGGATTGTTTCGCTGGGTTCGAGTCTGGGTTACCTGTGCACTGGACCTTTGCTACAAGCACTATTGGACGCATATGGATGGAGGGACACTTTCAGAATAATGGTGGCGACATACGCTCTTGTTTGCATCTTGAGTTTGACATTTAACCCCAACGTACAAGGCATAACAGTAGTAGAAACATTTACCCCTGAAAAGGATAACAATCGAGCTCAAACAGTAAAGAGGAACGCACTCTTTTTTTATTGCAGCGTGTGGGTCTTTCCTGCTTACACTGTGTTCGTTGTTTCACTCGTACTTGCCAGTTTTTCGATGTATATTCCCTTCATCAATCTGGTAAGATTATGATTTGATACAAGATAGAGCGACTTGGGAGGTTGGGAGAGCACGAGATAAGCTGGAAACCACTCCGCTTCGCGTCGTGGTTTCCTACGCTTATCTCGTGTTCTCCCAACCTCCCGCGTGTTTACATCAGGCTATGTAAACACGGAAACCATTTTACATTTCTTCAATGAAATTATATTCTATTGTGGTAAAATAAATTCAGGTGAAGCCCGGAAAAAGGTTTTTGACAAAACTAGCCCTAGGCCTGCAACTTATTGGATCAGGTGCAACCATTTGTTTTCCGACAATACCAGACAGTAGTAAAGCAAATTGAAGGCTTTACTCTCTGAATATTGTTAGAACAATTTTCAATTAAGTGTCGAAAGTAATCGATATTGCATTGGTTTCACTTCACTGACTTCGCTCTGTGATGGTCCAGAAAGCTCGCGTCACTCCCTCAACCAATCAGATTCAACACTAAAACTAATCACGACATGGTCGCCCGCGTATTCCCGCGCTTTAGGCGGTTTGTTTGCCTTTACTTTGAGTTCTCATCATGCATGCTCCAAGGATAGCCTTGCCAGTCGTTCGGCTAATGCAACATTTCTGTTTTTAAACTAGGTCAAGTTTAGCGAAGATGTCGGAATATCTCCACAAAAAGCCTCCCGACTGTCCATCTTCATCGGCCTTGCTTCAGCCGTTGGACGAATTACAACAGGGAGATTGTGCAACGATAAAAGAGTAAATCCAGTTTACATTTATCAAGCGTGTTTGGTTACCGCTGCTCTTGCCACATCGATACTGCCAATGGCAAAGGAATACTGGCAAATTATAATTTTCAGCGCAACTTTTGGATTAAGTGAAGGTGTATTCATAACAACCCAGAATTTCATTTTATTGACCTGTGTGGACAACAAACGAAGGACTGCGGCTTTCTGTATCAACAACCTGCTATATGCCTTTACTGCAGCAGCCGGCGGACCCGTTGCCGGTAAGTGAATCAATGAACCTAAAGAAGATGGGTTTAGAAGTCTTGAGATAATTTCTTAATCAACCAGAATGAGAAATACAGCCAATTTTTTGGTTTTTCGTTTACACTAGCTTACAAATGTAGCCATTGTTTCCTTGTGTTTGGTTAGTACTTCAGCTTTTTCGATTTATTTTCTTAACCCTTAACTCTCGAGTTTTGATTGCTAATTCTCCCATCTAGCTGCTACACACTTCCATGTAAATTAGTTACGAGAATTTGCGTTTAGAGCAAGTGAACAACTTCTACCAGATATCTTTGAGTATTTTCGTTACCTGTTTGCTGGATGATGAACGGATATCATAAGGAGAAATTACCTATTTATCACTTCTGTGAGTTAAAGGGTTACAGTTCCTCAATCTTAGAGAGGAGAAAAATGAACTGCGTTGTTCTCCTCCTAGTTTAAGTATCGTCTACTTCGGAGAAAAAAGGATAATCTTTTACGCTCAGCTAATGTGGGTAAATGCACTAGTTTGTTTATAAATGTTGTTATTATACATTAGGGTTACTATGCAAGCTCTGATTGGTCGAGAGCATACATTCATGTACAATAGCGTGTGAGGTTGACATGATAATCCAATATCTGCAGCAGGTGTTGGGTTATCATGTCGAGTTCTAAGTCTGCCTAGTTTCCAAGCTCTTCGTCCGTGTAGTACTCTCAAACCTTTGCGAACTCAGAGAGAAGTGCCTCTTTTGGCGATTGTTAAAAAAATTTATGATGAAACAATTACTGAATTCGGTTTCGATAATTCATGATATCATGCTCAATCTCATCCAATAATTGCTCTTTATTTCCTATACAGCCCTGATGGCTGACAAGACAGGGGACTATACCTATTCATTCTACATGACCGGAGGAGTGTTAATAGCTGCAGCCTTGATACCATTAATTTTGATTTGCGTAAACCGTGGGAAGTCGAAGGTCGTCCCCGAGGAATCAGAAATAGAAGAGAAGAAAGACAAATTTGAAAGAGTGTCCATAGCAATTCAAACTCTCGATGAAACGGAAGTATTGGGAAAAGAACTGCGCACAGAGTCCTTGTCAAGAAAGCGCGCTGCAAGCGCATTTCTCTGAAAGACGTAAAATATAATAAAAACGTTTGTTCTTTTCTGGTTAAGCTTCCAAGAAGCTACGGCCCTCAATCCGTCTAAGAGGTTGCCGAATTGTTGTGTTTCGAGTTTTTGACACGCCTTACTGTTCTTCTTTCCTCAAATGATAAGTTTTTCTGTTACACAGCATCAAAATTTAGAAGTAAATTTCTTGCGATTTTCAAGAATATGGCCAATAATAAATAGTATGCTACATCGATGTCCGATAAAACTCGATCAATGCCATAGAGACAGTACTGTTCTCGTCAATACTTTTTTGCTCGTCTTGACAATTTTTTTTTCAGTCGAATCATGTATGCAATTAAAGTACTTCTCCCTCGAGCAAAAACAAAAATGTTCAATGCTGAATTTGCTTTTGTTCTCAGCAGTGACAGCGGCAAAATGAGTGTGCATGCTTGTAAATTTTTACAAGCACAAAGAAATGGGATCGACACTATTTTTTTTTTTTGTAACACTATTGCGGGAAAATGGCGACTTTTTTAAAATTCCTATTGTTTGTTTTAATTTTGTGAGGATACGTTTAAACCAAAACAGATAAGGAGGCTGTTTTTAGGAAAGTTTCTGCCGACTCCACAGTCGCATATTTCACATAGCAACAAAATGTTGTGGTAAGAGGTGTGAATTTAGGGACTGAAGTGGTGCATCCGTAACATGGCAACGAAGTTCGTAGCAACAGCTACTATAACTTACAGAATGCTACTTATTCTATGGACTTTTCCACAAGAACAAGCTCCATTAAATTATCCACTTGGTTCTCAGCAATAACAGTCCAAGAAAAGTGTATGATAACGTTCTGTTCGTGAATCAATGAAATTCAGTCACGCTGGAGTCACAAAACGCTCTCCGAACGCGTATATCTCCCGAGCATGCACACTCATTTTGCCGCTGCGTTCTTAGCAGTCACAACGTTCGCACATGCGTAGACCTTTGACCTCTGTGCTGGAGGTTACCGGTCGTTTCGTACCCACGGTCGTCTCGTACCCAGTCGTTCCCTACCCAGTTAGGTCGTTTCGTACCCAAACTAATAAAGTACGTTTTCCATGTTAAAATTGGAGAAAAATATCACACTTACACTAGCCGCTGTCGTTAAAAAAAATTCACAGGTAAAAACGATAGACTTTTCTATTTAAAATATCATACTTACCTTGCGCTAAGCGATAATTCAGTTTTTTTTTAAGGTCACAATTATACACAACATAATTTTGTTTGTATCTTAGTAGCTTTACTCTGCTAACATGTCGTATCCACCCATTGACATCTTTTCACGCGCTCGCGGGTGAGGTATGTTGAATAAATGTATGACTCAATTAGCAGTTTGGCCACGAACCGACTCAAACTTGGGTACGAGTCGACTGCATTTGGGTACAAACGACTGTGGGTACGAAACGACCGGATACCGCGCGCGAACTGGAGATTACTGACTGATTAATGACCAATCACGCGCGCGTATTATCTGAGAGATACAGTTTAAGTTAATAGCAGGTCTGTAATTCTTTGTAAGACACAGTGGCGTCTGGTTTCCGTGCTGGACTTCGAACCGATATAGAATGCTTAGAGTATAGGATGCCTAAAGCCATGACATTGGCTCATCAGTTTTAATCATAATCAAGCCGGTGTTTATAGAGAAAGATGTAATAAATTTTTCTACTTCTCCAAAAAAAAAAGTCAAGATGGCGATTAAATCTTTTATTTCAGGGGGCAATTTCGGTAATTTTCAGGAGATTTCTGACTCGTGAAACCGTGCTACTAACTTTAATGAAGGCGATTTTTTTCCAGATGAGTCTTTTAAGATATTTTTTGTAAGACTTATTTCAAGCAAGTTAGAACTCTTGAACAGCGGTATGCAAATCAGTTTTTTGATGAATATTGTCTTTGAGATGCCACCTCTGTCTACTCACGTCTAAATAATTGTCAATTTCGGACATTGAATAAAGAGTTATATTGAATTTCATAAGCAGAAGTTAAACTACTTAAGTACTGATAAGTAAACCGATTTTTCTATGTTGTAAAACAAGAAAGGTATCCCTTGTTGTTTAAGAAGAGAAGATCGTTTATATACACTGTTGTTGTTTGGTGCTTAGCTCTTGCTGGCTGTGTACCACCGCTTTTCTTTAAAGAAGGCAGATTTGAATTCCAGCCTGGGAAATCGATGTGTTTGTACACATTTGAAAGCCACATCGCTTACACAGTCTTAATTGAGTGTTTTTATGTCGCAACACCCCTAACAGTCATCACAATCTGCTACGTTACAGTGTTCCGCACAGTCTCAAGGTCAAATCGCATTTTTTCTTCGGATAATAACCCCAGCCAACTCTGTGCGAATGTGGAAGAAGCCAAAGTGACGAAAACTTTAGTAACGGTTCTGTTTAGCTTCGTATTTTGTTGGCTCCCTATTTTTGTCGTGGATTGCACTGACGCCGCGCCCGGAGAACGCGCAATGTCACGACAGGTTTACCTGATGTACGCATTCTTGGCCTATTTAAGTAGCACTATCAACCCGTGCATCTATGGTATCATGAATAAACATTTCAAGCGAGAGTACAAAGTTCTCTCGCGCAAGTTTGCTTGCTTTCGTCGCCAGTGTAGGAACAACAACAAAAACAACAACAGCAACCACAACGCAGAAAGTGGTGTATGAATTCTTTTCACCATCCTCAGTCTTAGAGAATTTCGCAGCCCACCCCAACAAACAGATTCTAAAGAAGAGATTATCACAAGTTCAGAGTTAAGGCCGAAGAACATCCTTCCCAGAGGTCTTGCTTTTTAAAACGATATTTTCATTTTCTTCCAAAAGCTGAAGCTCTTCCAAAAGAAAAGTTATGTTACATTAATTTTTTTTCGCGGCATTGTCTCTCCTTATTGCAAATCCATTTAGAAAGAAAGAAGATCAAAAATACGCTTCGACGTGTTTTAGTTTATTAAAAACAAATATGCTTACTGTAGAGCAAAGAAGGACCGTGAAGGACAAAAGGAAAAATCTTGTTTAGGAAAGAGTGCATGAATTCTCTCCTTAAGTAATTTCAACATAAAAAGTAACGAATTAATATTTAAAAACTATTTATAGCGTTATTTGAAAGTGTGTCATCTGGATCTGTGATAATTGGGTTTTTTCCCCTTTATTTTCCTCTCTTCCCATTTACAATTAATCAAAAAATATTTCATCAAAACTCACAGGTTTGAGTTGTTATAAAAGTCGACAATAAACATCGATGCATAAGTGTCAAGTTTTGTACCAATGGCTCCTTATAAACTTCTTATTAGCTTCTGGGCTTTCGAGTGTTCTCCCAAAATCGAAGTCGGTTATTACACCTGTAATCCGATAAAAAGTGCTGTAACAATGATTTTACCAGTGCAATAAGCAATAAGTTTTTGACCAATCAGGGAGTTCGTACAATCTTATTTCATAAGATTATATCATATGCAACGACTTCTGCTTCAGAACCACGGGAAATGAAGATCAATTTTTTCCTACATTTTGATCGAGTGACAAGAGTTTTGAAATTCTCTGAAAGAGATCTCTATTGTCGGAACGTTTCTCTTTTTTCGGTTAATTATTTTCAATTTCGAGATATTTAGCGTATCGATTCTTTTTCAAGCGAACTTTCGTAGTCGTCGTATTATGCCCAGTGTTCTTTGGGACACTTGAGAGCAACAGTATGAATTAAATAGGCCTTGCAGTTGAAATTGTGGTTGATTTTTCCAGTTCCGCTAAAACTACGGTCCTTGTTTATGACTGACCCGAACAAAAGCTTTCGTTACAAATTATTCCAAACTGTAACGATAACCCGTTCGATGACTTTCATCTGAGTTTACCAAAACAGTTAATCTTTGATGCCATGATATGTTTTTTGCTTTAGTTTTCAAATTGATTAGCTAACAGGGAAGTCCTTGCTGTCACTGGGATTGGCTTTAGGGCTTGGTTCAGTGTTTCTTGCTTCCAAGTCTCTCATTTCTGACACTATTGGACTGACTCGAGACCCTCTCAGCTTGGTGAAAGTCACTCCGAAAGGAATGACAAATGCAAACATCAGAACCCCGCCGGTCATGTAAAACGAATTGATATAGTTCCCACTTTGGTCTGCCATCAAACCTGTGGAAAACAACACATAAAGAAAAAATCTAGATTGCAGTGTGCAGATAACGCATTTTACAAAAAAGCTCTGAAAAGGACAGGCCCCTTTCTTAACCATGTGACAGAATTTGTTCATTTTGTAGGGATTATCTCACCAGCAATTGGTCCCCCAGTAGCCACCGAAAATGAATAGAGCAGGTTAAGGATACAAAATGAAGCTGTAGCTCTCTCTTTATCCACACAGCTAAGTAAGATGTAACACTGCGTGGTTATGAAAATTCCATCGCTTATTCCATAAGCACAGCTAAATAAAACTAAGGCCCAGTATGTAGTTGCCATAGGTAACAGGAGCACACATACACCACCGATAAACAGCGATGACTGATAAACAAACACTGGGTTGATCTTTGGATTGTTACACAGTTTTCCGGACAGAATCCGTGCAAGTGATGAGGTAAAGCCGATGAAGATGAACAGTCGAGAGGCACTTTGCGCCGTGATACCAAGATCCTCACAGTACTTGACCTGGTTAAAGATAAAATACGTGCCATGTTATAAAATCCCTAATGGAGGACACTGCATGAAAATGGGGTAACTCAGGAGTTTGTCATATTATCACATCTAAATTTGAAGATCTTTAAAGCACTGGATGGTTGCATTATTTGTTTTTCAATTTTGAGGATACGGCTGCCATAATAATGGGGTAATTTTGGTACAAAAAAAAAACCGTTAGTAATATCTAGTCATTTCTTCTCAAAGATTGTAAAGGTGACGTCAATCATTTGATTTTCGGAATCTTCCCGGTTTTGGATTGATAGTTCTGTCGTATTTTGTTTGAAGCATCTCAACCAGCTAGAATTCTGAATCTTTGCAATTAATTGACTATCTCACGTTTTGGCATAGCCAATCGTTACGAGGCTCAAACCAGAGACCTCACATATGGTACAGTTTTTCTTAAACAGGGACCTCCGCCTAGAAAACACTTACAAAAAATATTTTCTCATTTTTTTTAGTGTCAAAAGTATTAGCAATAGAAAATATCTGGATTATTGGTATTAGCTATACTATAGACAGTTGTATTCTAACCAGATTGATGTAAGGAACATACATTCCAAAAGATCCCACCATCAAAGAAATGACGACGAAAGTGAAAACAGGAAACGTCCACACACTGCAGTAGAAAGAGATTCTTCTCTTAATTCCTACTTTTTTTCCCATGTCCAACGCTTCTGTTTTTATCTCCGTCACTATTGTTGTTGCAACTACGTTTGGATTGAAATTCAAACTCAAAATGCAAACAAGAGCGAAGGTTGCCGTCATTATTCTAAACGTGTTTCTCCAACCAAACGCGTCCAAAAGAATCTGTAGTAACGGACCTGTGTAAAGAACACCTATACTCGACCCCAATGCCGTTATACCAACAGCTAATGAGAGTTTTTCATTAAAATATTTTCCAAGTACCAAATAGTTGGAGTTATAAATGAAGCACGCTCCCGAACCGTACACCAAACCATAGGTAAAATACATAAGATTGAGGCTATTGGCGAAGGAAGTTGCCACCAGACCCGTCACGCATAGCAATCCCCCTAAAAAACACGTTATACGACATCCAAAGCGATCGCACAGGTATCCGGCCGGCAAACTTGCGAACCATACCATAGCTAGGCCGATTGAACCAACCCAGGCTGTGAAAGAGACGATTTTCAAATTAGTTCCTTTCATTTTAGTGGTCAGGAAAAGCATATTACCATCGATATCTCAATTAATCAGGCGAAATTCACCTGTTCTTCAGACCCGATCGAGTCTCTTTCAAACGGCCTAAAGGGTGCAGGGTTATGGATATTCTAGCGCCTTCTTGCATTTCACAAATTTGAATAATTTACTATAAATATCTTCGCATTATGCCTCCTGGAGCTCACCTGGGTCGTGCGGAGTCATTAGCGCAAGCTATTTCATACAGCGATAGTAATCACTAGTTAACATCCTTAACTACGAGGACGGGAAGTGACTTTAAAATTCCGTTGATGAATCGTCGCACAACTGATTAGTAGCGCTTAAGAATCTCATTGAAGATTACCGTTCTATGATACCCATTTTTCCGCTGAGTTTTCCAAAATCAGCTTCGTAGTATATTTCACATAACTTTTTCATATCCAACGCAGATTTTACTTATAAATATCGAAAGAAAAAGTTCCCGAGCATATATAGTTCAATCCTCAATTCACACCACAGCCATTTGAGTTATGTAGCCAGCAGACCGTAAAAGCTTGCTGTTTATCTGAAAAGTCCCTTATTAGTACATTGTGGCAGGGAGAAGAAGAAATTAGCTTGAGGCCGATCATCGGCACTGTTAAAAAAATTCAACATTTTAAAGGAACATTTGGCTACACTTAGATCTTTCAATCAGTGAAGACAAGTTTTATATCCAACGGCTGAAAGTTTTTTTGTTTTGTTCGTGTGTTATGGAATTATCTCGTTGTCTGCCCTCAGGCCTGTAAAGCCGCCAGAGTCACGATCAGAACCGAACAACGAAGTCAATTTTTAATTAACTCATAACTTTTTAAAACAGATTTCTCACCAACATACCTGTTCTCCCTCTTGTGGCATTAAAGTGCCTCATCAACTCTGGAAACAAAACTCCAAAGCTGAGAGTAAAGCCCAGATTAATACCATTACACACAGCCGCTGCAAAACAAACAACCCACGACCATAAGCTATCTTGGAACCTTTCACCATCAAACAACCGCGTGAGCTTTTTGAAAGCGTTTCCTCCGTCTTCTCTGTTATCCATAATAGTTTGGAGTTCACCCAAGTCGTTCTAACAGAACACACGCATATTGATCTAGTTTCAACCGGTCGACACGCGCGTCTGTATACAAATAAAGCCTCATTACGTATACGTAGTTCACACCATCATCACGAGCGCTAAGGGCAAAAATAGAATCTATGATCACGCTTTCTACAAACTCGTGCACATTTTGGGAGAACCTTTTGGTTTCTAGTTTCTAGTTTCCTTATGTAAGAGTACATGTGTGCAAAACCTCGTTGAAGAGTTTGGGGTGTAAAAGAAAGAAATACATAGATATTTATATATTTTACAGATGTTTTGGTGTGTATTATCTCTGAGTATTTTTAACCGCAACCCTGCGGGCTCGTCAAAATACAAACAACGAGTGAAATACTCAGTAATGCCACACATCAAAACGCCAAATTAGTTATTTGTTATCAAACTGCTTTATTTTCAAATCAAGTTGAGGAGGTTACATAGGGTTTTTTGACCGCGCTAGATTTGGGTGCGAACACAGCACGAGCTGCCAAAAGGCGACAGATTCGAAAGTCTACACATGCTCAGATACCGATCTTGGCGAAGCTTCTAGTCCATTACGTAGTGTTTTGCGACAAAGAAAATAGAGATCTTTCGAGTAAGATTTATCGCGTTTCCCTCGGTGGAATTTCTTAGGATTTGATAAAACGTTAAACATATTCGTGCCCTCCCTAGTGCCTGTTGATTAAAAAAATTCACGAGACCAAATTTGAGACGGAGGATGAAAACACAAAATTGTAAATAGCGAGGAAACGGCCTGTGTAACCCCGATATTTTCGGCTTTTAAATGATCGGCAGGACAATTTTCACAAATTTGGAAAATTTTGAGAGATTTTAACGAAGCAAATTGAAGAAAATCAAAGGCAAAGGGAAATTATCGTGGACCCTTAGCTTAATAACGAAAATCATTTTGATAATATTTACTACAGCAAACGACAGTCCGAACCTTGCTCGTTGCCTTTTGATGGCTTTAAGCGGCCTTGAAAAGCCATGAAAAATTTCAACTTTTTCCCTTTTATGAAATTATATCGACAGACGATACATGATTATTGCAGCTGTAAAAAAAAGCTAAACAAAACAAACAGGAAATCAAAACCGTGCCTATAAATAGGTTTTTCACCTTTTACTGCAGTGGAAATAGCTTATTTGAAATTCGTCTAAAGTTCCGCTCTATAAATTGTTTTTCAGCGCTGTTACCGTGTTACAGAATTGTAGGAAAGCTTACAAAACGTTTTAAGAGCTGTTATTGTCCATTTAGACAAGTTAGATTCTCAGTGACAACCACGACTGGACTCGTATTAATTTTCAACTTCTTCCTCACGAATACGACACAGAATATCTAAGCCAACTTAAAACTAAATGTCCTTTTATGGCTCGATCATCATTTTTACACGGATAAAAAAAAATACAAGCAAAAACTAGAAAAAAATTAAGTTCACTCTAACTTAACTCGTGACTCGAACTTGACTCGTCACGAGTATCGGGTATGATATTACGCACACGTAAAATTAGAGTGTACTAGATTTTTAATATTTTCCTTCGACATTTTGACGACTCGGATGACCCAAAAGTTGACCCAAGCTTGCACAATTTGCCTCCGTATAAATGCACACATGCTTAACTTGCGCCATCTGCTTGGCCCTCTATATAATCCTCTATACAGGGCAAAAGAGAAGAAATAAAACCTAATCAAACTGCTTTAAATCAGACCAGAAAACTCACACGATACAAAGAAACAAACCGCTATAGCCAGATAATTTTGTTCCTAGTGAGTGCTTGTTTCTTAGGTTGAGAGCGAAACCGTTTATTTCCATACAAATCCTTATATTTAGCCCATCGCACAACGTAAAATATTTGCATATTTATGGAGGCTAATTGTGCGAGCCTGTAAAAGACCTAAATTTGTTAATTAATACTTACGGTTTAGTGTACGGAATGGAGGCGTGTTTCATTTGCAATTCTTACTTCATGGTTTTTGGAACACATTTTAAACAAAAACTCTCGTTAGCTGTTGGTAGAACGCCATTAGGATCTAGTGCAGGTATCCTTTACAGCGGCCCGTTGCTACAGGCTCTTTTGGACGCGTTTGGATGGAGAAACACCTTAAGAATAATGACGGCAACCTTCGCTCTTGTTTGCATTTTGAGTTTGAATTTCAAGGAGCGACAACATCGTAGGTGGATGTAGAATAAGAAATTTTAGATGTGAAATAAAGAGTAGGAATTAAGAGAAGAATCACTTTTTACTGCCGCGTGTGGACGTTTTCTGTTTACTCTTTTGTCGTCATTTCTTTAACTGTGGGAGGTTTTGGATGTTCATTCCTATAATCAATCTGTGTGTAGTATACAGCTGTTCATAATATAGCTATAAAAGAAATAAATATTTGTTAAATGTGTCGATATGGGCGAAGGTCCATATTCAAGAAAATCTGTATCATATATAAGTTTTAGAGAAAGGTTGCATGGGCTATACATGGTCTTGTTAAAACCTCATCTCTTGCACGGATTCTGTCAGGAAAACTGTGCGAAAATCCAAAGATTAACCCAGTGTTACTTTATCAGTTGTCAATGTTTATCGGTGGTGTATCTGCCCTCCTGTTACCTTCTACGACCAAGTACTGAGCTTTAGTTGTATTTAGCGGTGCTTATGGAACAAGCGATGGCATTCTTATATCAACATCATGTTACATCTTGCTTAGTTGTGTGGATAAAAAAAAAAAGAAAAATAGCTTCATTCTGTATCGAATGCTTTCTTTACTCGTTTTAAGCGGCGACTGGCGGACCAATTGCTGGCAAGTATTTCTCAACACAGAAGTTAAGTGTTACTCTCCTAAAAGCCGTCTCGTTTGAACTTAAGACGCCTGCACGTTCATGTTCTTGTCATCCAACGCTTTCTCCTTTTTCTTCTCAGCGTAAGAAAGGATTTCCGTCATCTAACATTGCGAAAGCGTAGATTCTTCCTTTCAAAGTAAGGAAAAAGATGTATTGATCTAGAGAATTATACACGGGTGCGCGTAGACATGCAATTTTTCTTCGAGTGTTCCACTAGATGGCTCACGAGTGAGCGGAGCGAAAGGGGTGAGTTATCGAGTTGAACACGAGAAGAGAAATTCCCTATCTACATGCAACCATGCATTATTTTGAGTACTATACCATTAAATAGCCCTTTACTGACAAAAAAAGACGTCTTTATTGATGGATGAAAAAATTAAGGTCCACAATCTCAGAAATAGAGTCGTAAAGTGCGTTGGCAAAAAGGCTCAAGATGGAAAATGCGTTGAATCATTACAGAAACAAACAATGGGCATAAATTTCAATTTACAAAATTCTCAGTAACTGACTTTTTCCTCAACGACAGAAAAAAAGTTTTTCAGGTACACAGCCAAAATCGGCCTGTGGCAATCTTTCGCGGGCAGAAGTCGATTTCCGTTCTCAGCCGCGAGAAATTCTTTTACCAAAGCCACTGAATACGTAACTTTCGGTTTTTCCTCTCTTCAGTTTGGCCTTCTTCCCCTTCTAGGCAATTTTGAACGACAGTGTCTGTAAGCGATACGAATTCAGTTTTTCAGTGTTTTAGAAGCGGCCATAATTCGAGAAAACATTGGATTGAGAATGGTGAGGGCTTTGCTATTTATTCGTCAACATGGCAGAGTGGCGCAAAAGGCGCGAAAGGCGTGACGTGTCAGCAGTTGATTGGTGATGTCAAACACGCGTGAAAAATTATCGTGTTTTCTCTCCTGTATTCTTACGGATTTTCTCAGGGCTGGAAATCCTTGAAAAACACCGCAATTTTATACGACAAATGGCTTTCACATGAAAGTACATGCCCCTTACAATTTCTTTGCAAGTTAACTTAGTTCAGTACGTGACAGGCTCTTGCAAGAGTCATTTATCCAACTCACCAGCATTTCGAGCTTCGTCTCATAACGTTTGGTACTAATCTTTCTGTCTTTGGTTTTGCGTTGATCTCCACAGGACTGATCGCAGACCAAACAAGAAACTACATCGATTCCTTTCACATGACCGGCGGTATTGTGATGTTTGCATTCTTGATTCCCTTTGCATTGATTTTCATCAACCGGAGAAAGTCTCGAGTCACTCCGATTGTGACAAGAGAAATGAAAGACCAAAAAGTAAAGTGTACTGCTCCAAGAGCCGATGTGGTAGCTAATAACTTCCCTGCTCAGAGCTGACATACTCGGGCTGTCTCCAGAGTAAAAGTCTTTCGTCTTTTACAGTTAAACTGAAAAGCCTCGATGCCTTTGAAATCGGCTTGTTACGTAAGGAGAATAGCATATGGTCAGTTTGCCTTGAACGAGATCTAATTTCATGAACAAAAGCGCTGATAAGAGGAGCGAGTGACCGAAAGAGATTTAAATCAGATGATTTAACACGAAACTGTGAAGCGCTTTAACTTTCTTTATTTGCATGGGAAAAAGCTGTAGAAATTTCCTGTTAAAAGCAACGGAAAGAGTTTTTTCTACCCAGACTTGACTGTATCCTTCTTAAAGCTCGGACTCTAAAGATTGAAATTTTTCACTTTTGACATATATGCGTTATTGACCGAGCGTGAGGTCAAGATGGCTGGATATTGGTAGAGTTCTTTTTTTCTCCATTTTTATGGACCAGTAAAACGCCAAAAAGGAACGATGCTAATATCCAGCCACAGAGACTCCACGGTGAGCGTGGTTTGCAACACAATAAACCCACGAGGGTCGTTTGATGTTTTCGTTGTTTTTAATATCTTCTGCTGCAGTAAATTTTCTTTAGTCCTCCTCTCCTTACACTTCATTAGCGACAACTTATTCCCCCACCGTCCCCCCTGGAATCCATGTCATCCCCCAAAATCCTCCACCCCCTCTCCCCTTAAGATAAATAATGACTGGTGTGGTCCCTTAGATACGATTTTTGCGTGGGTAGTTTTATTGACGTTATACTAGAAAAATAATCACATGAGTCGCTCGTACATTTTGTGATCTGTATCCTCACTCGGAATATGCTGAAAGGCTTTCTAAAAATAAAAAAATTTAAAAATCACTCTTGCCTAGCTAGAAATTTGAAGATACACTCGCGTTCATGCAATTTTCAATACTACAAGTAATTCCTGGCGAGCGCGACAGAGGTGGAGAAATTTCATCATTCTGTCAGTGACGTAAGGTAAAAAAGCATGTGCAGTTTGCTTTTGTTGTTGTTTTTTTTTATCATGCGAGATATTTACGCTTCTAATGACGTCACATAAAGTTGCAAGTGAAAAGAGCCCATTGCCCGTTGGTGTTGCAATAATTTAACCTCTGAAATTTCACTGTGGCAGAAATAAAAGCACTCCATACCGGTAGCTTCGTGTTAGAACATACAATCTCTTTTTTTCACAAGTTCCACTTACCAACGCCTTTTTGACAAAAATCGGATTTTCAAAAATATTTATTTCAAAGGAGAACAAATTATACGCTCTTCACTGTTAGGGCCTAACAGCGTGCATCAGATTACTATATACCGAGCCAAAGAGGCTCCTAAGACGAGTGACTGTTACTCTGAAGACTCTGGTCAACAGACTAAAAAAGGTTGGCAACGTTGAAACTAAAAAAAAGTCTTTAAATCTCAAGTGATGATATGATATATTTTTAGCTAACAGGAAAGTCATTGACTGTCACATTTGCTCTAGGAGTAGTGTTTGTTGCTTCCTCGTCTCAAACTTCTCTTGACCGGCACTGTTAGACTGACTTGAAGACTTTCTCCTGTTGATGAAAATCAATGCAAAGGGAATAACAAATGCTAACATCAGAACACCACCGGTCATTTTGAACGAACTGATATAGTTTCCTGTTTGATCTGCCATTAAACCTGTGGAAAATAAAAGATGCAAAAGATACATGAGAGACTTTCAGAGAAAGCATTGCGAGACAAGTTATTCTGTTGTGCTCATGGGCCCTCCTCAGGGGCCTGTTCAGAACTTGTCATTTATTGAATAGTTCATGACATGGAAAAGATACTGAAAATGCAAAGGGAGTCATGAGATTAGAACGATTTCTGAGGTTACTGTGAACTGAATTGCGACATTTCATGGTTGTTTGAAATAATTTTGCAAGAAAACATTTACAAAGTGGACTTTTTTTAGAGCGTGAACATTTTCAAACATTTAAACTTCCCAAAGTGTGATATTTTGAAAGTCAGTGGCTGATAGCTGGAGAAGCTGTCATTCTTTGTACAACCATTGTATCTCTTCCTTCTATTTCCTATTTTGCATTATGAACATTTTTTTTACCGATTGCTGTCATGCAAAGAGCCTGTAAAAGGGCATATGAACTGCTATGCAAAAGCCTTTTCATGCTTTTTCCGCCTACTTTAAGAGAAAGGAATCTACTTTTTTACAACGTCAGATAGGAAATATCCATATCCTTTCTTAGGGTAAAATAAATCCTTGGATAACAAATACAGGTAAATGAGATGGTCGATAGTTCAGAGGTGATAGGTTTTGGCAATCGGAGGAGAGTACCTCTACAGATCTGTCTAGAGAAAGTCTTACCAGCGATTGGCCCGCCAGTCGCAACTGAAAATGAATAAAGCAGGCATTCGATACAAAATGCAGCAGTTTTTCTCTTTTCATCCACGCAGCTAAGTGGGATGTAATTCGCTGTTGATATAAAAATTCCATCGCTTGTTCCATATGCACAGCTAAATACAACTAAGGCCCAATATTTGGTTGCGTAAGGTAACAGGAGCACAGATACACCACCCATAAACAGCGACGACTGATAAACAAATACTGGGTTAATCGTTGGACTGTTGCACAGTTTTCCGGACAGAATTCGTGCAAGTGATGAGGTGAGGCCAATGAAGATAAACAGTCGAGAGGCACTTTGCGCTGTGATCCCAAGATCCTCACAGTACTTGACCTGGGTAAAATTAATACTGGTGTTAAGTAACGATGATATAATTTTTCAACAGTGAAAACAGATGAGAAAACAAAAGTAGAAATTCTCGTAATTACACAGATTATCAACATAAACATCCAGATTTGAGAGGGAATACTCAGTGTTCAAAGGTTGTCAGTTGAATTTCGTCTGAAAATGTATCAATCACATAACAGCTTCGCGGATAAATATCCGAGCATAGTTTCCCGCCAAACCAGGGCTTTTATTTACTCAGATTTGTTTACTCATAATTCTTTTCCAGAACAGAAGTATTTGTAAGACTCTGCGTAGCTATATACTAACCAGATTCAATTGAGGAATGAACATTCCAAAACTTGCCACCGATACAGAAATGACGACAAAAGTGTAAACAGGATATGTCCACACGCTGCAGTAAAAAGATATTCTACCCTTAGTTCCTACTTGTTGTTCCAATGTTTCCAATTCTACATCCACCAACGATGTCATTTTTACAACATACGGATTGAAATTCAAACTCAAAATACAAACAAGAGCGAAGGTTGCCGTCATTATTCTAAACGTGTTTCTCCAACCAAATGCGTCCAAAAGAGCCTGAAGTAACGGGCCTGTGTACAAGACACCTACACTCGACCCCAATGCAGTTATACCAACAGCTACTGAGAGTTTTTTGTCGAAATACTTTCCAACCGCGAGATAGTAAGAGTTAAAAATGAAGCAGGCCCCCAAACCGTACACCAAGCTGTAAGTAAAGTACATCAGAGTGAGGCTATTGGCGAACGAAGTCGCTACCAAACCTGCAATGCACATGATTCCTCCCATAAAACATGTGATGCGACATCCAAAGTGATCACACAAATATCCAGCCGGCAAACTGGCAAACCAAACCATGGCCAGGCCGATGGAGCCAACCCAGGCTGTTAAAAAGATGATTTTCACTGATATTAGTTCCATTCATTTCAGTAGTTTAAGTACCAATACAAAGTCAGCTGGATATCTTTTTAGGAAAAACATACCGTAACGGTTGTTGACATTTCAAGAGAGTGATATTATGTTCCTCTTCAGACAGAATTCAACAACAACCATGCCATCTGGGATAAATAGCCATGGTGTTATAGTGCTTCACTAATTCCAACTTGCATTTCATCGATAAAAATATATCATCTCAGCGTGGTAGGTTTTATTTTCAAAAACTGCCCAAGTCTAGTGTCGCATCTTATCTGCGTTATGAGCCAGGATGCTCGTGGGTCACGTATTAATGAGATCTTAGAGGTTTGTGCAACACCGGAAACTTCTTTATTACTATCATTTGCATACTAAACATCTGTGGCTTTACACTTGGCTAAGAAAGGTCACTTTAGAAGACATTTCATAGTAATTGTTTAGAAAACCTGAATTCATTTGTTTGCGCTTCCAAGATTTCCAATGGATCATTTCAAGGGATTTGCTCACTCTATTCTTGATTTTCCAGCATCACTTCACTAAATTGATGCAAAAGTTCTCTTAAATATCACATTTTCGATCTGTAGCTCATGCAGCAGATATTAATTTATCAGCAGAGGGCCCCAAGCTTATTGTTTATATGAAAGACTCCCTCATTAGTACTCTGCGGGAGAAGACTCTTCAGGCTTAAATAACTCAAGGCCGATTATTTAAACGAAAGCTGTCGAAGGCCTCAATCATAGACAAACAGTGGATCACAAGAATTCATTATGGATGCGTTGTTTTTTAAAAATGAACAATCGTCTTCATCGTATACTACAGGTCTTCTTAAACAGTTTGCAAAAATCAACGTTTTTAGTGAAAAAGCGTTTAGCTTTATTGAACATGGTTTACTAAAACCAAGGTTTGCATTACCACGGCTCCAGTAAGTCTTAAAATAAAAAACAAGACAGAAAAAAAAAGAAGCGGTCTCCTGTCGCTCCAAAGCTGTTTCGTTTATTCATAATGGTTATTTACATGATTGTCTCATAGTGCGCCGTCAGACCTAAGTCAGTGTTCTGATTAGAATTGAACGACAAAATCAGCGCTTAGTTTATAACTTTCTGTTATTGAAAAAGATTTATGATCAGCATACCTGTCCTTTCTCTTGTGGCATTAAAGTGCCTCATCAACTCCGGGAACAAAACTCCAAAGCTGAGTGTAAAGCCAAGGTTGATTGCATTACACACAGCCGCCGAAATACACACGACCCATGACCACGAGCTATCTTGGAACCTTTTACCACTAAAGATACGCTTCAGCTTTTTAAAAGTGTTTTCTTCACCCATTTGAATCGAATTTTCCTAAGGTTTCCTTACTTAAGAGAACTCTCTAAGATTACTAAAATTAAGTCGAGCGAAAAAAATGGGGTGAATTGCAACCATGCGCCTCCGTATGCAAATAAAGCCGTCTCATGTACTTCAAAACAACATCACGCCAAGAGCGACATTTGATTGACGAATCAAATCATTTCCGGGTCTCGGCACCAGTTTCGGAGATATCAATCAGACTGAACTGTGTATGATCTTGTGTTTATTCCAGTTAGTCAGGACTTTTTTATCTCATTAGTGACGTACATAATGAACACTAATTATACGTACATAATTAGCCGTTAATGTACTGATTTCATTACACCTATAATTGAATTTGATCACGTTTTCTGCAAAAATGTGTCATTATGTTGTCATCATGTTTAGGTAGCTTATCGTATGGTACACGAAGTTTCAATGTAACGCTCCCTCTGATTGGTTAATAAGGTGGTATGATACCTTAAAAAAGGCAAAAATTTCGAAGTTTTACCTAAAAATTTTTATTGCTGGAAAAGGTCCATATTTCACTCGGTATTAACGCCACAATTTAATTTTTCATGAAAATGTTATTTGTTGTCCAGTATTTACTCAGAGATTGAACAGTGGGTTTTCAAACCCAAATACAACTTTTAAATGCATTTTCCATCAAACTGCATTTTGATAGAACTCCGAGTAGCTCAACATGTTCAGTTCAAAAACTATGTAAGATAATTTCATGAATTTTTTCACAGAAAGTCTTGAATGCTGCTTCTGTGCAATAAACCTAAAACAAAGTACAAAGGTAAATTGATGATTCAATGGCAGGCAAATTTTTTTCCAGAAGGGGCCCATTATTTGTTTATGTGAAAGTTTTTCATTATTTGACATGGTTATAATCATGTTGTATAAAATACTTTAGGTTCATTGCACAGATCCATCTATGCATAAGATATCCTGAAAATTTCAGAGCCATGGGATTTTTTTGTTATAAAGTTATTGTTGTTGGTGTGATGTCTATGAAATGAGGGTTAAGTGGGCGTGGTCCTGTTGCTATAGTAACAGATGGTGTCAACAACAGTGCCAAACAATTTCTCTCAGTGAGTGTTATCACTGGAGTGACTAATAAAAATGTTTCAAATAATGTAAAAAATTTCCCTTTTTGAAGGTATCATACCTCTTAAGACAGCGTGCTTCTTTAGAGTACAGAAGAAACATTAGGGCGCTGTTGTTATTCTCCATCTTAAGTACATTCGTGCTCCAGGGTGAGGAGGGACTGGTGAGGCCCATGTCGCTAGTATAGTCTCACGATCCTAACTGTTGCGAAATAAGCTTTTAATGACTGACTTAGTCGTCATATTTGTTTCCACGACACCACAGCCCACCTCAAGTGTCTTTCGGTGGGCTATCACCCATGTCCCACATGGGTGATTTGCTGTGGTTTCAAGCCGGTTTACGACCTGATCGCGTATTAGTCGAAAATATTAATTTGTTTTTGGTAACCTATTTTCCAGTCTATTCATAAGCACAGACTACTCAATGAAGAATTACAAAAAATTTTATTTATTGTAGTGTCATCTACCTATGGGCGGATTAACGAAAACTTGACCCATGATTGTATAAAAAGGCGTCTTGGGGGAAGTTTCATTTACCCGAAGATTGTCCGAGATTGTCCGGCGCGTCCATAAGTGTTTACACGTGACGTTTAATAAAGTCCAAAATTAACACGTGGCACGTGAATTTAAAAAAAGGTGCGAGAGTAATTCGTGAATTTATGAATAAGCGTGAGGCGTGGTTCCCCTCCTCAAATATACGCTATCCGTGAATTGTTTCTTTCATATAGATCACAACATGTACAAGCGACTCGTGATTATTTTTCCAATTTAACTTCAATAAAACTACTCACGCAAAATCGTACCTAAGGGACCTGACCAGTCATTACTTATCTTGGGGGGGAGGGGGTGAGGAGGAATTTGGGGGATCACATGGCTTTCAGTGGAACAGAGCGGGGATCAGTTGTCGCTAACAAAGTACAAAGTGGGGTGGATTATGGAAACTTGACTGCACCAGAAGACGTTAAAAACAACCAAAACTTTAAAAGACTCTCGTGGGTTTATTGTGTCGCAAACACACTTTATTCTTGCTTCTTATTATAACAAACTCGTGCTGCTGGATATTAGCACCGTTCCTCCACTTGGTCTTGGTCCATTAAAACGCAAAAAAAAAGAGAACTCGGCTACTATCCAACTATCTTGAGCTCACGCTGACGTGGTCAATAAAGCATATACATCAAAAGTGAGAAATTTCAATCTTTAAAGCCCGGTTCTAGGAAGGACACACTCAAGTCTGGGTAGAAAAAGACTCTTTCCGTTGCTTCTAACATAAAATTTCCACAGCTTTTTCCCATGCAAATAAAGAAAGTTGAAGCGCTTCACAGCTTTGTGTTAAATCAACTGATCTCTTTTAGTCATTCGTTCGTCCTATTAGCGCTTTTGCTCATAAAATTAGATCTCGTTCAAGGCAAGCTAATCACATGCTATTCACCTTACATAATAAGCCTTCGATTTCAAAGGCAACGAGGCTTTTCAGTTTCACTATAAGAGACGAAAGACTTTTACTCCGAAGACACTGTTGAATTTGTTGGAAAAGATGGGTGCGTCGAGATTTAACAGCCTGTGTATGTCTTAGGTGCCATGATATTTAGTGCGAATATTTTTCAATTAGCTCTGAGCAGGGAAGTTACCGTAAACGTCCATGTATAAGCCGCATCCGTAGATAAGCCGCACCCCCGATTTGGAAGCGCAGAATTTGGAAAAAAATAAAAACAATACAGTTTGAAGTTTCAGTAGAGTTGTATTGCTACAAACAATCAAAGTTTCGAAACACCGACATAGAAGTTGTGACTATCTACGTGCCGCATTGCTCCCTGCTGATGTTCACCTATTCATTAGGCAAACATCAGCGGGGGTTGTGATTTCAGACCTTCCACCGTGTGTAGCAAAAGATAATAATATTTCAAATAGTACGCGCGCTCTGATTGGCCATAAAACCGTTTTACATGAGCGTATGTAAACACGGTTTTCGTTCCTCTTTCATTAGTTATTTTATAAAAGAAATGTAAAATGGTTTCCGTGTTTACTCGATAAGCTGGAAACCACTCCGCTTCGCGTCGTGGTTTCCTACGCTTATCTCGTGTTCTCCCAACCTCCCGCATGTTTACATCAGGCTATGTAAACACGGAAACCATTTTACATTTCTTCAACAGTTACTTTGTTAAAGGTATTGCCTCATAATGGAAAATATTATGGCTATCGATCCTTAACAACGAAAGGGCTAGCTTTCAAGAGTTTGCCCTAATAGCGAAATGTAAAAAAGTGCTGTCGCACTGTTCCATGCTTACACCATGACCATATCAGGGTAGGCAAAAACATGTAATTTAGTTTTAACAACTGAGTTGAAAACGTAAATTCGCCACCGTAAAGAGTTTAAAGGTTGACTTTTTGACCGTTAGCCCTTCGTCAGAGCGATTGGAGGAATTTTGGGATGTGTGTGGGTTTATGTGCAGATAATGGAGCTACGCTATTGTAGGGAATATGGTGATGAGAAAACAAGTATAAATCAGTTGAATGAATAGCGCTCGTTGATACCGTGGGGATTGGAAAATAATTTTGTTGAAGTGTTTTGCGGCTTTCCGAGCTGGCTAGATGTAGGGAAAGGCCGCAAATTGCCATATGCTGTTCAGAATGACTAGAGAGATTAAAGTGTCTAGCGACGTCGCGAAGGTGTGCACGGTGGTCTTCCTGTTTTACCAATGTATAACTTTTTTCAATAAGTGCAAGTTATGAAGTAAATGACATTGGCGGAGGTGCACGTAAGGTGATCAATGGATCTCTTGGGTCCCGACATTTTCTCTACGTTATGAATGCATCGTGAGCGAGCGCATTTGAAAGTTCCAGGCTGGTCATTGGTTTGAAATGAACTTCTGATCAAAAAGTTGCCTACGTTTTTGTCACGCCTATTTGAATGAAATTAGTGGAGTTTGCGAAAAGATTGTACCAGTCTCTGAATCGTTTTGGAGTAATTTCAAGTTTTTAAGAATGATAGATTTAACTGCGTGGTTGTGAGGGTGAAATGTGAGAGTGAATGGAATGCGGTCACTGTTTTCCTTTTCAGCCGTTTGTAGTGCTGACTGTAGACGACTCAGACGTTTCAGCGACAGTTTGCGGCATATTTGAATCAATTTTAAATTGGTTTCTGGCGGTTTTAAATGTTTTTTTTTACGATTTATAAAATCCGTATATTAAGTCGAGTAAAGTGTGTCATTTTACTTTCATTCCTACAAAAACGTTCGAAATCGCTAAAAATCGTTAGTAACAGCGCTTTAATCGTCGAAAGCAGCATATTTGTAAAGAATGACCAGAAGTTGACAGGTTTTAGGGTCATCAAAATGATCTTGTTTCAATATTTTCTTGAAGCCTCTCTATGGTTCGCCAGCCACCTGAACTCTTCATTCCTCACTCCTCATCTGAACACTCGTCAAGGTGTGAGCTGATCACGTTTCAAGCTAAAGAAAACTTACCAAAGTTTTCCAATTCTTTGTTTTTCCTTTTCCTTGTAATTAAAAGTTTGGTTGTAAGTTAGCGTATAAAATATCATGATTTTGTGTAATATTTTTGTAGAAACACTTTTCTTACCGATTCGTTTTATTATAATTAACCCTTCATTCATCGCTGAAAAGGAAACTAATTATGGCAACTTAGCTTTGCAAACGTTATCTGGTCAAGGTATAGAGTATCACTAAAATTTGAAATCCTTTATCCATAAGATGTCGATAGGAAGTACTGTTTAAAAATTTTTATTTTTCTGTTACATGTAAAAGGATATTATTTCATACCATTCATGTAATTCTAATTATTTCATTTCTCATAACGATGATCAAACATTCAAATTAATATTCACTAAGCATTGGGTGTAAAACGATAACACAATTTTGCTTTAATTATGGTAAGTGAGATACAATTTCATTTTTTAATTGGTGCCGTTTTATTACATTACTTTAATTTGACATTATCACCCTCCTTGCTGTTTATTCTTGTTTAATAACTAATCGGTATTAAACAATGACGTTTTTCATAGCCTCTTTTAATATTAATAGCGAAAAAAGTCTAACGTGTAGAGTCAAGTTTTAACTTTTTGCACTCGGCCTATTTCCAGAGGGGCCCTGCTTGCTTCGTACGTTTTATTAAATGCACATATTGTAGAAGTGCATTTTTCTGGACAAGTTATTCATTTATATCTGAATCAGGAATCATCCTTTTAAACAGAAATATATAGGAATTTTTGCAACCTAGCTTTACAAATATTCATGAAATTATCAGTATTGAGCTGTCGTGTGCGCCCTCTGTAAATACATCAGGACCTTTCGAAAACAGTCGGCCTCCATTAAATTGAATACCCTATTCTTATTATCTATATAGGAGTATCTACATTTCTAGGCAGACAAACGAACGAGCAGTCCTGAATCAAGTAATTTAGCAATAACCGCACAAACTAACCCTTTCCTATTTTAGTACACGCATTTTATTTCAAATACTCGAGTTATCACTGAAATCGGAAATTCTTTATTTTCACGATATTGATGGGAAGTATTGTTTCATATTTTTGTTTAACTGTAATGAGTAAGCAATTATTTCACGTCATTCATAAAATTCGTATTATTTCGTACCTCCTCACGTTATGTAAACACTCAAGTTATTACCAATCACTAAACAGTGGACGTGATAAGTAAACACAATTTTGCTTTAATTACAGTGTATGTTTATCGAAGCGTTCATTTCATTTGAATTGGACTGCTTTCATTATTTAATTCATAATACTCGTATTTAATAAAAAATTTCCTAATTTCCAAGGGTAAATTTTTTACCTGAGTGTGACAACTGTCAAACCCTAAGAGTCCCATCCACTTTGAAGTGTTTTGACGTCGTTTGTGTTAAAGTGTGGGTTTTAAGCGTTGTTTAAGAACAAAGTAACTTCTAGCCTGCCTAGTTTGAGTTGGTCTTATTGGTTTTACTAATCAACCTAGAGTGATTTTAAACGTCTTGTAATAAACACGAATCTTTCGAATTTTTTGGTTCTCTTCTTTGAAAACAAATTATGAAAGTTAACAATAATTTAAAAATAGTAATGTTTTCCAGCACATAAGCAGACAACCATTTCCTGTTTCTAAGATGCGACTGATGCCTCTTACATGTTTGACCATTTGCAAATTAAAAATTAATCAATTTTTTGCTCATGAACAGATGTCAATTTTACATTGGATTATTCAAAAATCTGAACCACTTAAAACGAGATAGACCATTGCATTCGTTCAGTTCTTCGCGGAGAGCTAACCTATAACGAAGAGTTGCTGCAAAGTCAGTAGCGGAGGAAACTGAACAACGAAGGCCTAAGGGAGTGAGTAACGCTTGTAAGTTTTTTGCTTTTCGTGTTTGATGCAAGATGCTATTATCGGAGACACATCGGAAAACCCTTTTTTCGTATGGAAATGTTTATTCCTTTCAATCCCCGTACGCCGTACATGAGCATTCTAACTCACAAATCTGAATGTTGGAACAGGGATCTTTTCAAGGCCGGATTCTTACAAATTTGTCACCGAAGAGATAGATCTTATAGAGTCTAGCTAATCCAGTTCTCACGCAGCTTCTAACATTTTCAAAATCCTTGATAATTTGCAGAAATAAAGAGCAAGCACTGCGAGTAAACTGTCTCGCTTGGAAACTCAACAAAGTGACCCTCAACGAGGACTCGACCCAAAACCGCCCAACCCAGAATTGCTTCATAAATACATATGAATATCAGAATATTTCACTCAGAACTTATTGCGTGCTCATTTCATTAATATGCCCTTATGAATTCTTTGTTTGTTTGTTCCTTTTTCAAAGGAAAATGAAGAGCCTTTTCTTGTTGTCGATAACTTTGGCTCTGGCCAAGTCACTTCCACTCGAGACCGATCAGGACACCGAAGTCGCGCTGAACGAGGACGAGAAGATTGGTAAGTGCTTCAGTTTTTATCAGTTTTATTAGAATCTACCTAAGTCTAACACGGCGTGCAACATCCAACAATAGTTTCACTAAGCACACTTCTGTCATTTTGAAATCAGTTTCCTCCTCCTTTTTTTGCACCACTCCTTTTAGTGAAAGGAGGGGCCAGCAATCTTTGGCGCATTCAGCTCTTTTAACAAAGTAAAACGATTTATATTTTCCTTTTTTTGTATATTTTTACTTGTCTTATTCCTTATTTTATTTTAAACATACTCATTTTCCACAAGAAAATCAGCGTGATCCCAACCTCTCTTGTTTTTTAGAAAAACCTGTTTTCGATCCCGATGTACCGACTGATTATCCGGGCGGTCAAATATATACGATCGGCCGGCTCAAAAACAGAAATAGTGATCGCTAAAATAATTCCTAGTTTTGTTCTTGGATATAGTCCAGTGAATGCCCAAAAAGAGAAAGTGATTACCAAAACGTCTAAATTTGATAACTGTACTGTCTCCTTTTTTTTTTCTTACTAATTTATGACTCAGTTACAGCTTTGTTTGTTTGTTATTTTTTTTTCGCTAAAACTTTATTTGAATATTGCTACTTTTCAGATACTGCTGATAAGATTGAAATCGGTGAAAGAGGCTATTATCATGGTAAGTCCATCATAATCTGTCGATGATTGCAAAAGTTTTTTTTTTTTTTTACTTTTTCAAGGTATTACAAAATATCATGTTGTCCTATGTTACGGTGAGTTGTTGGTGGACTGACTCCCCATCAATAATAATTCTGCATGCGCTAGTTTATGCCTAGCTTCGATAAGCGCTTCAATAATTTGGGCTCGTAAAGTGATACGCAAAGCTTTCGGAGCTTGTGGCCTGTTTTAAATAGAACGGAATGACAAGTCGTTACTAAATTTCATTTGAGTACACTCATTTTGCAGCGAGGCCTGATTAGCTCTGTTTCTAGGTGCGAACGTTTTTAACCAAGCGTAAGGCATTCCCATTTCCTTTAACCGTGCTGAAATTTCCATTATGAACAGAAAGCAAAGTCTGTCCCGTTTCCCTTTTTCAAATGAAGAGGCTGTTAAGTGAGTTTTCCTCCCTCTCAAATTTCGCTACTGACAGGAAGCTAGAGAAAAGCAACTGGCGCGAGAGCGTGCCTTATTCAAAATTAAGTTTAGATAACAATCAATGCGAGACCTCTATAGTTCTCTATGTAGCCCAAGTAATGCTAGTGGCCGTTAACGAACCCCCACCATGAAACAAGGGTGTTCAATTACCCGGAGGAAAATTCTGCTATAACGACGACTATCCTAAACAATCCTGAAACTGACCAGTTGCAAATTATATAATGCGGGGTGAAAATTGAGCTCCTTTGTTTAAGCTTCTTGTTACTGGTAATTGCATATTTTTAACATTCTGATCCTTGAAGGACGATTTCTGGTGGTTACACTACCTTGCCGTAAGAATTTATTTGATATGAATTAAGATGGAGTCTTATTTCTTTCGACCTGCAATTAAATTACTAAGTAACGGTTAATTTGTTTGTTACGTGGATTTTTGTGTGCCCATGTTTTCAATTTTTGATTAAGCTTTAGAAGTGGATGTGCGTTAAGTCAAACTTTCACTTCTTAAAACGGTACTATGTGAACGTCAAGAACATCCTAGTAACAAGAGGAAATTTAAATTTTATCATGTGGTAGGATAAGGCTTTGAATTAAATTGGGGAGTTGCGGAAAGATTATACTTTTGTAAAAAAAAAAAAAAAAAAAAAAAAGACATTTTGAAGGAGAAAATGACCAATTTGTGTCCCCACAAGACCTCAATCGAAAAACAGACAAATCAGTCATGAGTCCAAAGGAAATTTATTTTGAAGCTAACCTCATAGAGTCTAACTCAGATGCAAAGTTCCAAGATATCCGTGAGATGGCCCAAAATTTTGTGAGGATGTTAGAGAAAGAGCCTCTTAAAATAATTGTGTTTTCTGGTAAAATTTGACTTTGTTTAAATCTTAACTCTTAGGTATTAGCGAGGGAATATATCTCATTGAAAACTTCGAAACAAAGCGCCTCTTGTTCCAGGATGGCCCTAAAATAAAAGGGTCTCGTGGAGCAGAAAAGGGGTGGAAGGCTCATACAGGCTTCAAAGCACCAGCTGTTGTCGGCGCTGATGCAAATTACTACAATCGAGCTTACTGGAAGATCATTCCTCAAGGTGGTGGCAAATACCTGATTGAAAACGTCGAGACGAAAAGGTACTTGTTTCAAGATGGTCCTGCCATAAAAGGGCGTCGTGGAGCAGAAGCTGGGTGGGCGGCTCATACAGGCTTCAAAGCACCTGCTGTTGTCGGAGCTGATGCCAACTACTACAATCGAGCCTTCTGGGTGATTACTCCACTAGGTAGTGGCAGGTACTTCATTGAAAACGTCCATACGAAGAGGTTCGTGTTTCAAACTGGTCAACCGATTAAAGGGAAGCGTGGAGCAGAGGGGGGATGGAGGAATGCTTATGGCCTTACTTCACCTGCTGTTGTCGGTGCTGATGCCAACTACTACAACCGAGCCTATTGGTTACTACACAAAGTGCATTAGACTGATAAAAAAATGTGCCAAGAACGTTAGGGGTATCAGCTAAATGGAACTATCGGTAGCTTTTCCTGGGTTGTAGTGCAAGTTTGTCAAGCTTTTGACTGTACTATGAAAAATAAAGGCACAAATTAAAAGAGATGATCTAGTTTGCATGGATCTATAATCGAAGACAGTTGATGAAGAAGGAAGTCAAGGGATAAGAAATTAATTCTTTCTTCCCATCCCCTTGTTAACTTATATTAAAACCAGTTTTCATAGGCGACTTTTCGTGCAGGTCTTGCATGATGAAATGAGAGTTTTAAAGTTAGTGGCATTTTCAGGCTTTGGAGTGAGCCCATTCAATTCCATCGCTTTTGAAACAATCAGAAGCAACCACAACTATCGAAGGGCATTTTCAGTATCAAAAATTTCGTATCGCACTGAGTAAAATTTAGCTTTGTGTGCATCGACTATCATGCACCAATAGCTTGAAGTTACCCATCGATCTTTTCGGTTTAGAATAAAAACAAAAAGGAAACCTGAATCACAAGTAAAAAATCCATTAATTAGAAAGGTAATTTCTCACTCTGTTAATAATCATTAAAACCGGACGAGCTGTTCCGTTTCCACTTAATAGGACAACTCTAATCCTGCTTGAACATGAGACATCAGCACTGGGCTCCAGAGAAAAAGCTATAGAGTTTGAGGGGTTTATACCACAAAGTCTTGTAGTAATGGCTATTGTTTAAGTTGCTTTTCAAAGTGTCGAAATTGGGTTATTTGCATATTTCGACACCTCAGAGACTTTGCAGAAAGTAAATGAATCGGCGTAAATTAATCACTGTCCAGAGGCTAATAGTACAGAGTACAGTTTGCTTGTGGTTAGCATCTATTTCAACGTTAGATTCACTATGTATGCTTCTGCTTCCAGGATGGTTGTTAAAGGAACATGCCGACATTTTAGCTAGTCAGGTATCTGACATCTTGAACTACTCGTACCATGAAGGACGCTTGCCATCGTCATGGAAGCACGCATATGTATTTCCCGTGCCAAAGCAAAAGCCCGTCCGTGAAGTAAATAAGCACTTACGCCCTATTTCACTAACCCCCATTTTTTCAAAGATGTCTGAAGCTTATGTGGTTGACACTTACGTCAAACCTGCTGTGCTGGAGAGGATTGATCCTCAACAATTTGGAGCCGTACCTAAATCTTCTACTACGCATGCGCTTATCAGTATGTAACACTCCTGGTTGGAATCGACTGATCGAAATGGTGCTATTACGACAGCTGTACTGTTTGACTTTCGCAAAGCCTTTGACTTAATTGATCATCATGTCCTAGCCCAAAAGCTCTCTTCGTATGACTTTCTGGAATCGATCATGTGCTGGATCTTGGATTTCCTTACGAATAGAAGGCAAAAGGTGAAATTGAGTTGTGGTTGTGTATCGGAATGGCGTGCTGTACCAGCAGGAGTTCCTCAGGGGATTAAACTCGGCCCCTGGTTATTTCTAATAATGATTAATGACCTGAGTGTGGCGAATACAAACATCTGGAAGTATGTAGATGATACTACCCTACTACATTGAGGTTGTTCCATCCGCTAAATTACTAGGTGTTATTATATCTAATGATTTAAAGTGGAATGTACACGTAGAAATGATATGTAAGAAAGTCGCAGCGCGTCTCTACTTTCTTAGGCAATTAAAGCGCGCGAAAGTGCCAGCTAATGACCCTCTAAGTTTCTACATCACTTGCATACGCCCAGCTGCAGAGTATGCATGTCCAGTCTTTCATACCGCTCTACCGCAATATCTCTCCGATCAGTTATAATTAGAACGCCTGCAGAAGCGAGCACTACGCATAATAAGCACTAATGATTTATCTTATAGACAGGCTCTAGAAGTTTTAACATACCTACCTTGTATGACACGAGAGAGGCGATTGGTAACTCAATGTTTCTAGAGATAAGTAATAATAATAATCACAAGCTTTATTCACTGATTCCGCCACCTTACCTTAGTACGTTGCGAACACGGAAAAATCGCCAGTTCCGAGTCCCGCGTTTGAAAACCAATCGTTTTAGGGACAGTTTTATTGTAAGCCATTGCCGATAGCACGTCCTTGTACAACACATATATATTTTTTCATCTGATTTCGAATAATTTTAGTTGTATCTTAATTAATTTAGTATTTACATAATGATAAGCCTTATTATTGTCAAATTCTTATCAATTAACTTTCTAATTTATCATTAAATAATTTATAGTTGTAATTAATTTACGTTTTACATTTGTAAAAATTATCGTAATTCAGCCCTTGGGCTGCAAGGGTAATTTTAATAAACTATCTATCTATCTATCTATCTATCTATCTATCTATCTATCTATCTATCTATCTATCTACCTATCCATCTATATGGTTCAAAAGTTTACGATTGGGAAGTTAGTGCCTCGGTGTTGTAACCGTAATGGAAAAGTAATGACGGCCGAACGAAAGGGAGGTGATCAGTCACGGCCCAGTAAGATTCTTTTAGTTTATTCTGATTTGAAGGTTAACTCAAAAAGCTCTCATTTTCTGAAAGCGTTCGGATTAATTACGAGACATCCATGACTCAAAGGACCCTTATCAGCCGCACCCTTGTTTTGTGTACATGCCAAAAATGTGGCCATTATATTTTGCGTAGAACGTGTAGAAACGAAAGGGATCACTGTGAAACTGCTCACTGTAATTAAGCAGACTTAAGAAACACTTCCAAAAGCATCTCAATAAGATTTGGCTTTGCCACACCATTTCAATAATTTCTATGGCATTGAAAATGGCGGAGGTTGACTAAGGTCCTTTAAAGTACTCAAATGATACTCATTCTCGAGAGTGACAGCTGCAATTTTAACCCGTTGACGAAAAAGAAAGCGCTCATAACCGTACTTTAGGTTGCATTTAAGATGTTTACGCCCATTACGCTTTAGGGAAATACTTGGGATTTTACGGTACTAAGACTATTTTAGTTTTTGTTCTGTTTGTTTGTTTTTTTCTTTGACGGAGGGGAAGCCGATCAGCGACCGGGACAATTTCGAAAAAACTTCCAGTTTCATTGCCATCAGGACTATGTTGAAGTGGGAATGGTTTCTTCCCAACTGATATATTCTAACAACAGACAATTACGTATGTCAGGTACGTACTAAATTATTTCATACAAGTCCTGGGGTGCTTACCATTTAGACGGAAAAAACGGAAATTTCGGTAGGAAAATCAAAATGTTCGCGCATTGTGTTTGGAACGTTTTGTAAATTATGGGCCACTGGTTGGTTGGTTACATGGTTGTCTCATAGTGCACCCTCAGGCCTAAGCCAGTGTTCCGATGAGAACTGAACGACAAAATCAGCGTTTAGTTCATAACTTTCCGTCACTGAAAAAGATTTATCATCAACATATCTGTCCTTTCTCTTGTGGCATTAAAGTGCCTCATCAACTCCGGTAACAAAACTCTATAAGTAGATGACATTACATCACATTTCGCCTGGAATTCTTCATTGAGTAGTCTGTGCTTATGAATAGGCTGGAAAATAGGGTCAGCAAATCAAAACCACAGAAAATCACCCATGTGTGACATGGGTGACAACCCATAGAGTGGCACTTGAGGTTTCGCCATGAGAATATTTTAAGAAGGTGTCGTGAAAACAAATATGACGTCATTAAGTACTTATTCCGCAACGATTAGAATGGCGAGGTTATACTAGATGCAGGGACCTCACCAGTCCCTCTCCACCATAGAGCACGAGTGTACTTAAGATTGAGAACAGACAAGAATGCCCTAATGTTTCTTCTGTTCTCTAACAAAGCACACTGTCTTAACCAATCACAGGGAGCGTTATATTAAACCTCGTGCATCATACTATAAGCTACCTAAACATAATGACATATAAACCCGGTTTGCAGAAAACGTGATCAAATTTAAGGATTGGACTTAATTTCTTAGTCAAATTTAGCCCCTGGCGTGATGTTGTTGTAAAGTACATGGAATGGCTTTATTTGAATACAGAGGCGCGTACTTGCAGTTCGCGCAATTTCTTTCGCTCTAGTACCTCGACTGAGTATGCTGATCATAAATCTTTTCCAGCAACGGACAGTTATAAACTAAACGCTGATTTTGTCGTTCAATTCTCGATGCGTTCAATGCGCGAACATTTTGATTTTCCTACCGAAATTTCCGTTTTTTCCGTCTAAATGGTAAGCACCCCAGGACTCGCATGGAATAATTTATTATGTACCTGGCATAGGTAATTGTCTGTTGTTAGAATACATCAGTTGGGCATAAACCATTCCCCCTTCACATAGTCCTGATGGCAATGAAACTGGCTCTGTTTGGCCACCTTATGATGTTTTATATGGACTCTATGCATCGCCTATCTACTACAATTAGTTATAATTTATGAGTCATGCAAGAAGTAAGGATAACGGTTAAAAGCGTACCGCTTTAGCCAAGACACAAGTTTCATTCCTTGGAATATTAAAATGAATAAGCCGAATAATTCGTTTGGTTTTTGGCAAGGATTTAACTGCCACAGCAAGTGGAACGACAAAACTGGTGCTCTTATTGGGATTATTGGCTTTCCAGCAAATGACCCATTCGAAGTCCAGAGTAAGGTTTGGTACGAGGGGAGGTTGGTTTGGCATGGTCGATTCGAATTCATGTGGAAAAGAGTTACAAACCACGGAGCACATAAGGGCATTTTGCTACATTTTTGTCCAGTAAAGTCTAAATACGTTGATTTAAATCATTGAAAAGGCTTTTACTGGCTAAGTATTTAAATAACTCCTAAAAACGGCTGATTACTGAGAAAACAAAGCATTACAGGACATTACCATGAGAAATAAAGCCGGCCCATTTTAACAATAGCCATGGCCGAGAACAAATGGTACTTCATAGGAAGGTGGCTGTGTCGGTAGGCAGAATGATCACAATAAGGACTAACGTCGTCTTTTTGTCCGAATCTGCAAATTTTAAAGGATGTAATCCAATATTTATTTACAGAAAATGTAGCTTGTGCTTCATGCCTTTTTAATTAATAGTTTCCTAGAACAAATTGCGTTGCTCTGTTTGTGCGGATATCAACAAAATAATATTGAGCAATAGCACCCGCGCAGAGTCTGTTGTGTATTTGTTGTCGAAGATACCGAGCCGGCAACCCCGATACTTGATGATGAGGGTGGCTAAGGAGGTTCTTGATCCCTTGTTACCTTCACAAACTTTCCAGTGTTCTCTTGTTCCCGAAGCTTTTTCGAAATTGTCCCGATTGCGTTCAGCCGTCATTACTTTTCCATTACGGTTACAACACCGAGGCACTAGCTGCCGAATCGTAAACTTTTGGACCAAGTGATGGAAGCAGAAGCATACAAAGTGAACCTAACGTTAAAACAGATGCTAACCACAGGCAGACCGTACTCTGTGCTATTAGCCTCTAGTGTATAGCGGTGATTAATTTGATTTCAGCTATGTCTCTGAGGTGTCGAAATATGCAACTAACAGCCCAATTTCGATATTTTAAAAAGCAACTTAAGCAATTAAGGCATTATTACAAGACTTTGTGGTATAAACCCCTTTGCGGTAAAAACCCCACAAACTCTATAGCTCCAGAGCCCAGTGTTGATGGCTAATGTTCAAGGAGGATTAGAGTTCTCCTATAAAGCGGAAACGGAACAGCTCGTTCCGATTTTAATGATAATTAACAGAGTTTTTCTAATTAATTGATTTTTTGCATGGGAATCCGGTTTGCTTCCAACAGTTATGTGACAAGACACTTTTAAAAACCTCTGTTTTCTTAAATGAAATACGAGAGTTAAGACGGCTCTGCTTGATTAGGGGTATCAAATGGTCCATTGTAATCTCCAAGTGCTCGCAAAATTAAGGTCTTGCTCGATTTGCTCGCAAAATTTAGAAGGGTGCTCACTTGCTCATGCTCACAAAATTTTTGTAACTGCTCGCACGCTCGGATTCTGGATCACTCACAATTTAGTGAATCATACTCTATACATTTTTTGGAGAGAAATACATATAAGTGTATCCTTTCAATGGGCTGAATTGGAGGTACCAAGGAGATCTTACTCCGTTTATACTACAAAAACAAATAATGAAATCAACTTGAGAAAGTGAAAACGGACTGCTGTCAGCGGTAAACTTTTGCAAAGTACTGCTGCTTTCCAGTTGTACGCCCTAAAGTGCTCGCTTATCGCAAGGAGAATTTCATCGCTAATCGGCTAAGGGGAAATTTTTGCTGTTTTCAGGAAAGAAAGACTTTATAATTGAAGATTTAACACTGTATATTCGACCAGTGGAGGGCATCACTTATTCTCTATTAAGAGAAAAAATAAAATCTTATTCCGAATTAGCGAAATAATTTCCTTTCCGATTTACAATAGACATATTTCAATTGTTCAATTTCAGTTTCCTAGTTTTCATCTTTCCCGTTTAAGTAACGTCCATTCACGCCGCACTTCACCTTTATTGTTTATGGATCAAAGAGATGGTAAGGGTTTGTACCCGTGAAGTGGTTTATGTAAAAATTAAAGATTTTAGGTATAAATCTGTTGAAATATTCGGTGAGATCGAGGAACAATCGTCATTGTACAATTATAGTCCTATCTGGAATGTTTTTGTTTTTTGGTTATTCTAAACCGAAAAAAATTGAAGGGTTACTTTAAGCTATCGGTGCATAATAGTCGATGCACACAAAGCTCAATTTTACTCAGTGAGATATGAAATTTTTGCTACTAACCACATATTATAATTTTCAAAGGCAAATGCCCTTCGATAGTTGTGGTTGCTTCTGATTGTTTAAAAACCATGGAACTTAATGGGCTCACTCCAAAGCCTGAAAAGGCCACTAACCGTAAAACCCTCATTTCATCATGCAAGACCTGCACGGAAAGTCGCCTATGAAAACGGGTCGTAATATAAGTTAACAAGGGGATGGGAAGAAAAAATTAATTTCTTATCCCTTGACTTCCTTCTTCATCAGCTGTCTTCGACTATAGATCCATGCAAACTAGATCATCTCTTTTAATTTGTGCTTTTATTTTTCACACTACAATCAAAAGCTTGAAGTTTAAACATTTGACAAACTTGCACTACAACCCAGGAAAAGCTACTAACAGCTCCATTATAACTGCTACCCTTAACGTTGTTGGCACGTTTTTTTTTATCAGTCTAACGCACTTTGTGAAGCATCCAGTAGGCTCGGTTGTAGTAGTTGGCATCAGCACCGACAACAACAGGTGAAGTAAGGCCATTAGCATTCTTCCATCCACCTTCTGCTCCACGATTCCCTTTAATCGGTGGACCAGTTTGAAACAGGAGCCTCTTCGTGAAGATGTTTTCAATGAAGTACCTGCCATTACTTACTGGAGTAATCATCCAGTAGGCTCGATTGTAGTAGTTGGCATCAGCTCCGACAACATCAGGTGCTTTGAAGCCTGAACTAGCCGCCCACCCATGCTCTGCTCCACGAGGCCCTTTTATGGCAGGGCCACCTTGAAACAAGTACCTTTTCGTCTCGGGGTTTTCGATGAAGTATTTGCCACCACCTAGAGGAATGATCTTCCAGTAAGCTCGATTGTAGTAGTTGGCATCAGCTCCGACAACAGCAGGTGCTTTGAAGCCTGAACTAGCCGCCCACCCTTTTTCTGCTCCACGAGGCCCTTTTATGGGAGGGCCGTCCTGGAACAAGAGGCGCTTTGTTTCGACGTTTTCAATGAGATATATTCCCTCGCTAATACCTAAGAGTTAAGATTTCAACAACGTCAAATATTACCAACAAACACATGTATTTTAAGACGCTCTCTCTCTAAGATCCTCATAAAAATTTTTCGTTCATCTCACGGATATCCTAGAAACTTGGCATCTGAATTACACTCTATGAGGTTAGCTTCAAAATACATTTCCTTTGGATTCATGACGATTTGTCTGTTTTTTGATTGAGGTCCCGTGGGACACAAATTGGTCATTTTGTCCTTCAATGTTCTTGACGTTCACATAGTACCGCTTTAAGAAGTGAAATTTTGACTTCAAGCACATCCACTTCTACAACTTAATCAAAAATAGAAAACATGGGCACACAAAAAATCCACGTAATTGAACACACTTGTTTCATGGTTGGGGCTTCGTTAAGGGCCACTAACATTACTTGGGATACACAGAGAACTATAGAGGTCTCGCATTTATTGTTATCTAAACTAAGTTTTGAATAAGGCACGCTCTCGCGCCAGTTGCGCTCCTGTCGGTGGCGAAATTTGAGAGGGAAGGAAGCTCACTTAGGAGCCCCTTCACTTGAGATTAGGATACGGGAAGGGCTTTGCTTTCTACACATAATGGAAATCTAAGCACGGTGAAAGGAAATGGGAATGCCTTGCAATTGGTTACAGTAAGAACGTTCGCACCTAGAAACAGAGCTAATCAGGCTTCGCTGCAAAATGAGTGTATTCAAATGAAATTTAATAACGACTTGTCATTCCGTTCTTTTTAAAACAGACCACGAGCTCCGAAAGCTTTGCGTATCACTTTAAAAGCCCAAATTATAAAAGCGCTTATCGAAGCTAGGCACAAACTAGCGCATGCAGAATTATTATTGATGGGGAGTCAGTCCACCGAGAACAATTCACAGTGACATTGGACAACACGATATTTTGTATTACCTTGAAAAAGTAAAGAAAAAAAAACCTTTGCAATCATCGACAGATTATGATGGACTTACCTTCTTCACAAGAACCTCTTTTAGCAATTTCAAGCTTATCAGCTGTATCTGAAAAGTAACAATTTTCAAACAAAGTTTTATTGAAAAAAATCGTATATATTTATGCCAATTTGACCGCCCGGATAATCAGTCGATACCTCGGGATCGAAAACAGGTGTTTCTAAAAAACAAGAGAGATTGGGATCACGCTGATTTTCTTGTGGAAAATGAGTATGTTTAAAATAAAATTTCAACACTCTATATTATATTGAGCTTTGCCAGAAATGCTAAGGAATAAGACAAGAAAAAATATACTAAAAGGGAAAAAAATAAATCGTTTTACTATGTTGAAAGAGCTGCATGCGCCAAAGATTGCTGGCCCCTCCTTTAACTAAAAGGAGAGGTGCAAAAAAGGGAAGAGGAAACTGATTTAAAAATAATAGAAGTCTGATTAGTTAAACTGTTGTTGGATGTTTCACACCGTGTTAGAACTGAGGTAGATTCTAATAAAACTGTTAAAAACTGAAACACTTACCAATCTTCTCGTCCTCGTTCAGCGCGACTTCGGTGTTCTGATCGGTCTCGAGTGGAAGTGACTTGGCCAGAGCCAAAGTTATCAAAAACAAGACAAGGTCCTTCATTTTCTTTTGAAAAAGAAACAAACAAACAAACAAACAACGAATTCAGAAGTTAATATGAATGAAATGAGCATGCAATAAGTTTTGAAGGAATTGTTCTAATATTCATATGAATCTATGGAGCAATTCTGGGTTGGGCGGTTTTGGGTTCGAGTCCTCGTTCACTTTGTTGAGTTTCCAAGCGAGACAATTTTCTGGCAATGCTCGCTGCCAGGAGTTGCGAGAGAACTGGATTAGCTAGACTCTATAAACTCTATCTCTTCGGCGACAAATTTGTAAGAATCCGGCTTTGAAAAGATCCCTCTCCCAATGTTCGGATTTGTGAGTTAGAATGCTCATGGACAGCATACGAGGATTGAAAAGGAAATAAACCTTCTCAAACGAAAAAAGATTCTTCGATGCGTCTCCGATAATAGCGTCTTGCATCAAACACGAAAAGAAGAAAACTTGCAAGCGTTACTTACTCCGTTGGACGTCGTTGTTCAGTTTCCTCCGTTACTGACTTTGTAGTGACTCTTCGTTATAGGTTAGCTCTCCGCGAAGAACTGAACGAATGCAATAGTTTATCTCCTTTTACGCGGTCAAGATTGTTGAATAATCGAATGTAAAAATTGACATCTATACATAACAAAAAATTGATTAAACCTTAATTTGCAGATGGTCAAACATGTAAGAGGCATCAGTCGCATCTTGGAAACAGGAAATGGTTGTCTGCTTATTTGCTGAAAAACATTACTATTTTTACTCTTGAGGTTTGACAGTTGTCATAGCTAAAAAAGTTAACCCTTGGAAATTCGGAAATTTTTCATTAAATACAAGTATTACATAATGAAAGCAGGCTAATTCAAATGAAATGAACGCTTCGATAAACATGCACTGCAATTAAAGCAAAATTGTGTTTACTTATCACGTCCACTGTTTAGTGATTGGTAATAACTTGAGTGTTTACATAACGTTATGAGATACGAAATAATACGAATTTTATGAATGATGTGAAATAATTGCTTACTTGTTACAGTTAAACAAAAATATGAAACAATACTTCCCATCAATATCGTGAAAATAAAGAATTTCAGTGATAACTCAAGTATTTGAAATAAAATGCGTGTACTAAAATAGGAAAGGATTAGTTTGTGCAGTTATTGCTAAATTACTTACTACTTGATTCAGAACTGCACGTTCGTTTGTCTACCTAGAAATGTAGATACTCCTATTTAGATAATAAGAAAAGGGTATTCAATTTAATAGAAGCCGACTGTTTTCGAAAGGTTCTAATATATTTACAAAGTGCCCACACGACAGCTCAATACTGATAATTTCATAAATATTTGTAAAGCTGGGTTGAAACAATTTCCTAAATATTCCTGTTTAAAAAGATGATTTCTGCTTCAGATATTAATGAATATTTAGTCCAGAAAAATACACTTATGCAGTATGTACATTTAATAAAACGTACGAAACAGGCAGGGCCCTTCTGGAAACAGGCAGAGTGCAAAAAGTTAAAACTTAACTCTGCACGATTTCTTTTGCTATTAATGTTAAAAGGGGCTATAAAAAACATCATTGTTTAATACTGCTTAGTTACTAAACAAAGATAAACACAAAGGAGGGTGTTAATGTCAAATTAACACCATAATAAATTCACCGCAATTAAAGCAAAATTGTGTTTATCGTTTTATACCCACTATTTAGTGATAGGCAATAATATAATTTGAGTGTTTATTCATCGTTACGAGAAATGAAATAATGTGGATTATATGAATGGTACGAAAAAATCATTGCTTATTTATACATGTAATAGAAAAATAAAAATTTCAAACAGTACTTCCTATCGACATCTTAAAAATAAAGAATCTCAAATTTCAGTGATACTCTATACCTTGACCAGATAACGTTTACAAAGCTAAGTTGCCATAATTAGACTCGTTTTCAGCAATAATCGGTAAGAACAGTGTTTCTACAAAAATATTTCACAAATCATGATATTTTATACGCTAACTTACAACCAAACTTTGAATTACAAGTAAAAGGAAATACAAAGAAGTGGAAAACTTTGGTAAGTGCAATAAGTGACAAATTTTGCACAGATCTTTACCTTGAAAAGTGATCAGCTCACACCTCGACGAGTGTTCAGGTGAGGAGTGAGGAGTGAGGAGTTCAGATGGCCGGCGAGCCATAGAGAGGCTCCCAGGCATCATTGAGACGAGATCATTTTTATGACCCTAAGTAGTTATAAAAAGCGCGTTCTGGCACACTTTGAAAACAACCTTGATTTCAAGGCAACTCATGAATTAACCTTGATTTGAAGTCAACCTTGATTTAAAAAAACAGTTTTGACACATTTTCAAAACAACCTTGATTTCAAGGCAATTTGAATTTTTCATAACGTCTCACTCGTGAATTTTGAATAGAGTGTGAATATTATCAAAATCTTTCGGACGCGTCCGAAATTTTTCTAATTTATTTCCTTCAAAAGTTTTTCCGAAGCATCCGGATTTTTGACATTTATTTTCTACAAAGATTTTTCTGAGGCGTCAGAATTTTCTCATTTATTTTCTTTTAAAACTTTTTCTGACGAATTCGGAATTTTTCGCGTTTTTTTTCTGCAAAAATTTTTCTGAGGCGTCCGAAATTCTTCTCATCTATTTTCTAAAAAAATGTTTCCGGAATTTTTCTCATTTATTTTCTTAAAAAGTTATTCTGACGCGTCAGAATTTTTCTCATTAATTTTCCACAAAAGTTTTTTCTGAAGCGTCTGAATTTTTCTCATTAATTTTCTTCCAAAGTTTTCCTGACGCGTCAGAATTTCCTCATTTATTTTCTTCAAAAGTTTTTTAGACGCGTCCGGAATTTTTCATATTTGTCTTCTACAAATGACCCTCAGAAGTTTCTATTTATTTCAAAGTTATTTTCCTTCAAACTGTTTCGGACGTGTCAGAATGGACAAGAATCGCTTTTTAAAAAATTACGAAACGATCTTGCGCAGATGAAGGAAATGTTCAAGAAAAAACATGAAGATGTTATATTAAACCTCGTGCATCATACTATAAGCTACCTAAACATAATGACATATAAGCCCGGTTTGCAGAAAACGTGATCAAATTTAAGGATTGGACTTAATTTCTTAGTCAAATTTAGCCCCTGGCGTGATGTTGTTGTAAAGTACATGGAATGGCTTTATTTGAATACAGAGGCGCGTACTTGCAGTTCGCGCAATTTCTTTCGCTCTAGTACCTCGACTGAGTATGCTGATCATAAATCTTTTCCAGCAACAGAAAGTTATAAACTAAACGCTGATTTTGTCGTTCAATTCTCGATGCGTTCAATACGCGAACATTTTGATTTTCCTACCGAAATTTCCGTTTTTTCCGTCTAAATGGTAAGCACCCCAGGACTCGCATGGAATAATTTATTATGTACCTGGCATAAGTAATTGTCTGTTGTTAGAATACATCAGTTGGGCATAAACCATTCCCCCTTCACATAGTCCTGATGGCAATGAAACTGGCTCTGTTTGGCCACCTTATGATGTTTTATATAGACTCTATGCATCGCCTATCTACTACAATTAGTTATAATTTATGAGTCATGCAAGAAGTAAGGATAACGGTTAAAAGCGTACCGCTTTAGCCAAGACACAAGTCTCATTCCTTGGAATATTAAAATGAATAAGCCGAATAATTCGTTTGGTTTTTGGCAAGGATTTAACTGCCACAGCAAGTGGAACGACAAAACTGGTGCTCTTATTGGGATTATTGGCTTTCCAGCAAATGACCCATTCGAAGTCCAGAGTAAGGTTTGGTACGAGGGGAGGTTGGTTTGGCATGGTCGATTCGAATTCATGTGGAAAAGAGTTACAAACCACGGAGCACATAAGGGCATTTTGCTACATTTTTGTCCAGTAAAGTCTAAATCAGTAAATCATTGAAAAGGCTTTTACCGGCTAAGTATTTAAATAACTCCTAAAAACGGCTGATTACTGGGAAAACAAAGCATTAAAGGGCATTACCATGAGAAATCAAGCCGGCCCATTTTAACAATAGCCATGGCCGAGAACAAATGGTACTTCATAGGAAGGTGGCTGTGTCGGTAGGCGGAATGATCACAATAAGGACTAACGTCGTCTTTTTGTCCGAATCTGCAAATTTTAAAGGATTTAATCCAATATTTATTTACAGAAAATGTAGCTTGTGCTTCATGCCTTTTTAATTAATAGTTTCCTAGAACAGATTGCGTTGCTCTGTTTGTGCTGATATCAACAAAATAATATTGAGAAATAGCACCCGCGCAGAGTCTGTTGTGTATTTTTTGTCGAAGATACCGAGCCGGCAACCCCGATACTTGATGATGAGGGTGGCTAAGGAGGTTCTTGATCCCTTGTTACCTTCACAAACTTTCCAGGGTTCTCTTGTTCCCGAAGCTTTTTCGAAATTGTCCCGATTGCGTTCAGCCGTCATTACTTTTCCATTACGGTTACAGCACCGAGGCACTAGCTGCCGAATCGTAAACTTTTGGACCAAGTGATGGAAGCAGAAGCATACAAAGTGAACCTAACGTTAAAACAGATGCTAACCACAGGCAGACCGTACTCTGTCCTATTAGCCTCTAGTGTATAGCGGTGATTAATTTGATTTCAGCAATGTCTCTGAGGTGTTGAAATATGCAACTAACAGCCCAATTTCGATGTTTTAAAAAGCAACTTAAGCAATTAAGGCATTACTACAAGACTTTGTGGTATAAACCCCTTTGTGGTAAAAACCCCACAAAGTGGAAACCCGTGAAGTGGTTTATGTAAAAATTAAAGATTTTAGGTATAAATCTGTTGAAATATTCGGTGAGATCGAGGAACAATCGTCATTGTACAATTATAGTCCTATCTGGAATGTTTTTGTTTTTTGGTTATTCTAAACCGAAAAAAATTGAAGGGTAACTTTAAGCTATCGGTGCATAATAGTCGATGCACACAAAGCTCAATTTTACTCAGTGAGATATGAAATTTTTGCTACTAACCACATATTATAATTTTCAAAGGCAAATGCCCTTCGATAGTTGTGGTTGCTTCTGATTGTTTAAAAACCATGGAACTTAATGGGCTCACTCCAAAGCCTGAAAAGGCCACTAACCGTAAAACCCTCATTTCATCATGCAAGACCTGCACGGAAAGTCGCCTATGAAAACTGGTCGTAATATAAGTTAACAAGGGGATGGGAAGAAAAAATTAATTTCTTATCCCTTGACTTCCTTCTTCATCAGCTGTCTTCGACTATAGATCCATGCAAACTAGATCATCTCTTTTAATTTGTGCCTTTATTTCTCACACTACAGTCAAAAGCTTGAAGTTTAAACATTTAACAAACTTGCATTACAACCCAGGAAAAGCTACTAACAGCTCTATTATAACTGCTACCCTTAACGTTGTTGCAAACTAGATCATCTCTTTTAATTTGTGCCTTTATTTCTCACACTACAGTCAAAAGCTTGAAGTTTAAACATTTAACAAACTTGCATTACAACCCAGGAAAAGCTACTAACAGCTCCATTATAACTGCTACCCTTAACGTTGTTGGCACGTTTTTTTTTATCAGTCTAACGCACTTTGTGAAGCATCCAGTAGGCTCGGTTGTAGTAGTTGGCATCAGCACCGACAACAACAGGTGAAGTAAGGCCATTAGCATTCTTCCATCCACCTTCTGCTCCACGATTCCCTTTAATCGGTGGACCAGTTTGAAACAGGAGCCTCTTCGTGAAGATGTTTTCAATGAAGTACCTGCCATTACTTACTGGAGTAATCATCCAGTAGGCTCGATTGTAGTAGTTGGCATCAGCTCCGACAACATCAGGTGCTTTGAAGCCTGAACTAGCCGCCCACCCATGCTCTGCTCCACGAGGCCCTTTTATGGCAGGGCCACCTTGAAACAAGTACCTTTTCGTCTCGGGGTTTTCGATGAAGTATTTGCCACCACCTAGAGGAATGATCTTCCAGTAAGCTCGATTGTAGTAGTTGGCATCAGCTCCGACAATAGCAGGTGCTTTGAAGCCTGAACTAGCTGCCCACCCATGTTCTGCTCCACGAGGCCCTTTTATGGGAGGGCCGTCCTGGAACAAGAAGCGCTTTGTTTCGACGTTTTCAATGAGATATATTCCCTCGCTAATACCTAAGAGTTAAGATTTCAACAACGTCAAATATTACCAGCAAACACATGTATTTTAAGACGCTCTCTCTCTAAGATCCTCATAAAAATTTTTCGTTCATCTCACGGATATTCTGGAAACTTGGCATCTGAATTACACTTTATGAGGTTAGCTTCAAAATACATTTCCTTTGGACTCATGACTGATTTGTCTGTTTTTTGATTGAGGTCCCGTGGGAGACAAATTGGTCATTCTGTCCTTCAAAATGTCCTTTTTTTTTTTTTTTTAACGAAAGTGAAATCTTTCCGCTTCCCTCCAACTTTAATTCAAAGCCTTATCCTACCACATGATAAAATTTATATGTCCTCTTATTACTAGGATGTTCTTGACGTTCACATCGTACCGTTTTAAGAAGTGAAATTTTGACTTCAAGCAAATCCACTTCTACAACTCAATCAAAACTCGAAAACATAGGCACACAAAAAATCCACGTAATTGAACATCCTTGTTTTATGGTTGGGGCTTCGTTAAGGGCCACTAGCATTACTTGGGATACACAGGGGACTATAGAGGTCTCGCATTTATTGTTATCTGAACTAAGTTTTGAATAGGGCACGCTCTCGCGCCAGTTGCGCTCCTGTCGGTGGCGAAATTTGAGAGGGAAGGAAACTCACTTAGGAGCCTTTTCACTTGAGATTGGGAAACGGGAAGGGCTTTGCTTTCTGCTCATAATGGAAATTTCAGCACGGTTAAAGGAAATGGGAATGCCTTGCAATTAGTTACAGTAAGAACGTTCGCACCTAGAAACAGAGCTAATCAGGTTTCGCTGCAAAATGAGTGTATTCAAATGAAATTTAGTAACGACTTGTCATTCCGTTCTTTTCAAAACAGGTAACAAGCTCCGAAAGCTCTGCGCATCACTTCACAAGCCCCAATCAATGAAGCGCTTATCGAAGCTAGGCATGAACTAGCGCATGCAGAATATTATTGATGGGGAGGTAGTCCACTGAGAACAACTCACAGCAACATTGTAAAACACGATATTTTGTATTACCTTGAAAAAGTAAAGAAAAAAAACCTTTGCAATCATCGACAGATTATGACGGACTTACCTCTTTCAGCAATTTCAAGCTTATCAGCTTTATCTGATACCTCGGGATCGAAAACAGGTGTTTCTAAAAAACAAGAGAGGTTGGGATCACGCTGATTTTCTTCTGGAAAATGATTATGTTTAAAATAAAATTTTAACGCTCTATATTATATTGAGCTTTGCCAGAAATGCAAAGGAATAAGACAAGTAAAAAATACATTAAAAGGGAAAAAATAGATCGTTTTATTATGTTAAAAGAGCTGCGTGCGCCAAAGATCGCTGGCCCCTCCTTTAACTAAAAGGAGAGGTGCAAAAAAGGAAGAGGAAACTGATTTAAAAACAGTAGAAGTCTGATTAGTGAAACTGTTGTTGGATGTTGCACACCGTGTTAGAACTGAGGTAGATTCTAATAAAACTGTTAAAAACTGAAACACTTACCAATCTTCTCGTCCTCGTTCAGCGCGACTTCGGTGTTCTGATCGGTCTCGAGTGGAAGTGACTTGGCCAGAGCCAAAGTTATCAACAACAAGACAAGGCTCTTCATTTTCTTTTGAAAAAGAAACAAACAAACAAACAAGGAATTCAGAAGTTAATATGAATGAAATGAGCATGCAATAAGTTTTGAAGGAAATATTCTGATATTCATATGAATCTATGGAGCAATTCTGGGTTGGGCGGTTTTGGGTTCGAGTCCATGTTCACTTTGTTGAGTTTCCAAGCGAGACAATTTTCTCGCAGTGCGCGCTCTTACTTTCTGCAAATTGTCGATGATTTTGAAAATGCTAGGAGTTGCGAGAGAACTGGATTAGCTAGATTCTATAAACTCTATCTCTTCGGCGACAAATTTGTAAGAATCCGGCTTTGAAAAGATCCCTCTCTCAATGTTCAGATTTGTGAGTTAGAATGCTCATGAACAGCGTACGAGGATTGAAAGGAAATAAACCTTCTCAAACGAAAAAAGATTTTTTCGATGCGTCTCCGATAATAGCATCTTGCATAAACACGAAAAGAAGAAAACTTGCAAGCGTTACTTACTCCGTTGGGACGTCGTCGTTCAGTTTCCTCCGTTACTGACTTTGTAGTGACTCTTCGTTATAGGTTAGCTCTCCGCGAAGAACTGAACGAATGCAATGGTTTATCTCCTTTTACGCGGTCAAGATTGTTGAATAATCGAATGTAAAAATTGACATCTGTACATAACAAAAATTGATTAAACCTTAATTTGCAGATGGTCAAACATGTAAGAGGGATCAGTCGCATCTTGGAAACAGGAAATGGTTGTCCGCTTATGTGCTGGAAAACAATACAATTTTTACTCTTGAGGTTTGACAGTTGTCATAGCTAAAAAAGTTAACCCTGGGGAATTCGGAAATTTTTCATTAAATACAAGTATTATACAATAAAAGCAGTCTAATTCAAATGAAATGAACGCTTCGATAAACATGCACTGCAATTAAAGCAAAATTGTGTTTACTTATCACGTCCACTGTTTAGTGATTGGTAATAACTTGAGTGTTTACATAACGTTAGGAGATACGAAGATAATAAGAAAAGGGTATTCAATTTAATAGAAGCCGGATGTTTTCGAAAGGTTCTAATATATTTACAAAGTGCGCACACGACAGCTCAATACTGATAATTTCATAAATATTTGTAAAGCTGGGTTGAAACAATTTCCTAAATATTCCTGTTTAAAAAGATGATTTCTGCTTCAGATATTAATGAATATTTAGTCCAGAAAAATACACTTATGCAGTATGTACATTTAATAAAACGTACGAAACAGGCAGGGCCCCTCTGGAAACAGGCAGAGTGCAAAAAGTTAAAACTTAACTCTGCACGTCAGATTTTTTTTGCTATTAATATTAAAAGGGGCTAAACATCATTGTTTAATACTGCTTAGTTACTAAACAAAGATAAACACTAAGGAGGGTGTTAATGTCAAATTAACACCATAATAAATTCACCGCAATTAAAGCAAAATTGTGTTTATCGTTTTACACCCACTATTTAGTGACAGGCAATAATATAATTTGAGTGTTTACTCATCGTTACGAGAAATGAAATAATGCGGATTATATGAATGGTATGAAATAATCATTGCTTATTTATACATGTAACAGAAAAATAAAAATTTTCAAACAGTACTTCCTATCGACATCTTAAAAATAAAGAATCTCAAATCTTTGGTAAGTGCAGTAAGTGACAAATTTTGCACAGATCTTTACCTTGAAAAGTGATCAGCTCACACCTCGACGAGTGTTCAGGTGAGGAGTGAGGAGTTCAGATGGCCGGCGAGCCATAGAGGCATCATTGAGACGAGATCATTAAGTAGTTATAAAAAGCGCGTTCTGGCGCACTTTGAAAACAACCTTGATTTCAAGGCAACTCATGAATTAACCTTGATTTGAAGTCAACCTTGATTAAAAAAAACAGTTTTGACACATTTTCAAAACAACCTTGATTTCAAGGCAATTTGAATTTTTCATAACGTCTCACTCGTGAATTTTGAATAGAGTGTGAATATTATCAAAATCTTTCGGACGCGTCCGAAATTTTTCTAATTTATTTCCTTCAAAAGTTTTTCCGAAGCATCCGGATTTTTGACATTTATTTTCTACAAAGATTTTTCTGAGGCGTCAGAATTTTCTCATTTTATTTTCTATCAAAATTTTTCTGAGGCGTCAGAATTTTCTCATTTATTTTCTTTTAAAACTTTTTCTGACGAGTTCGGAATTTTTCTCGTTTATTTTCTACAAAAATTTTTCTGAGGCGTCCGAAATTTTTCTCATCTATTTTCTACGAAAATGTTTCTGGCGCGTCAGAATTTTCTTATTTATCTTTGTCCAAAGTTTCTCTTACACGTTCGAAATTTATCTCATTTATTTTCTGCAAAGAGTTTTCAGACGCGTCCGAAATTTTTCTCATTTATTCCCTCTTAAAGTTTTTCTGACTCGTCAGAGTATTCTCATTTATTTTCTTAAAAAGTTATTCTGACGCGTCAGAATTTTTCTCATTAATTTTCCACAAAAGTTTTTTCTGAAGCGTCTGAATTTTTCTCATTAATTTTCTTCCAAAGTTTTCCTGACGCGTCAGAATTTCCTCATTTATTTTCTTCAAAAGTTTTTTTCGACGCGTCCGGAATTTTTCATATTTGTCTTCTACAAATGACCCTCAGAAGTTTCTATTTATTTCAAAGTTATTTTCCTTCAAACTGTTTCGGACGTGTCAGAATGGACAAGAATCGCTTTTTAAAAAATTACGAAACGATCTTGCGCAGATGAAGGAAATGTTCAAGAAAAAACATGAAGATGTTGAGGTCATTTTCTCGAAATTGGTGGCGGTTTACCCAGTACTAACCGTCGCTTAAAATGATTGACCTGATTTGGTTTCCAAGAAAGACAGGAAAACCTCACCCAGCAAAAATGACGCAGAAAAACTGAAAGACAGTATTCAATGAAATGAAATATTTGCTGACTGCACTAATATACGATTGAATCTTGACAATGAAGATGGATGCATGAAAACACTTGTAAGTAGACTTGATCAAGCTCAAAGGGACACAAGGAGACGTAATGTGTTTTTTTTTCAAACTTGTAGGGATAGGTTTTGAAGTGATTAAAAGGAATTTCAGGAAACAAAATGTCGCAACTATTGAAGTTGACTGATTGTTCACAAGCCCAGGCTTATTTTTTGATCAATCTTGTTGAGTTAACTGAAAAGTATAACAAGTTAGCTTTCAGTGATTTACCAATGCGCTTCTTTAAGACTAATCTGAAGATTTTCAGGACTATTTGTAGAAGTGATCCCGATATTTTTATCTAATACTTTTTGTGCCTTGGATACCTATCCAGCGCATAAAGTTTAATTCTGTTGAATTTGCATATCTTTAGAATTTATGTCGAGAAATAAACAGAGAAAAGCCATTTAATTTTCTTTCAAATTCAATCTTACTTCGTTATTTTTTCGATCATCTTCTTTTATCTGTTCTCCTATAGCGTCAACATGAACCTTAGATGAGATTTTTGCTTTATTTTTCAACTGTCTTTTCAGTGATTCATACAGCTTAATCTCGTGCAACATTGAGTTGAACTCCATATCAGAGATAGAATTATTTTCAATCGCCTTTGAAAACAACCTGCTTACTGACAAATTTGGAACTTTCAAATGTGCTCGCTCACGATGCAAACTTGTCCTTTCATTTATAACGTAGAGAAAATGTCGGGACCCAAGAGATCCATTAAGATCACTGATCACTTTAAGTGCACCTCCACCAATGTTATTTACTGCATAACCTGCAATTATTGCAAAAAGTTACACATGGGTGAAACAGGAAGACGACTATGTGACCGATTCCGAGAACACCGTTCACGACGTAGAAAGAAATGACAGTGACGCATCTAAACCAGTCGCCAGACACTTTAGTCTCCCTAATCATTCTTTACAGCTTAGGGCAGTTTTCGGCCTTTCCCTCCATCTTGGCAGTTCGGAAAGCCGTAAAACAATTGAACAAAAATTTATCTTCCAAATCGGCACTCTTAATCCTCACGGTATCAACGAGCGCTTTTCATTCACCAAATTTATTTTTATTTTCTCGTCACCATATTCCCTTCAATAGTGTAGCTCCATTTTCTGCATATAAACCCACACACAACCCACAATTCTTTCCATCGCTCTGACGAAAGGCTAACGCTTAAAACGTTAGCTTTTAAACTCTTTACGGTGGCTAATTTACGTTTTCAACTCAGTTGTTAACATTAAATTACATGTGTTTGCCTACTCTGTTATAGTCATGGTGTATTCATAGAACAAAGCAACTGTACTTTTTCACATTTCGCTATTAGGGCAATCTCGTGAAAGCTAGCCCTTTCATTGTTAAGGATCGATAGTCATAATATTGTCCATTCCAAGGCAATTCCTTTAACGAAGGAACTGTTATCTTTTGCAACACACGGTGGAAGGTCTGAAATCACAACCCTTGCTGATGTTCGCCCAATGAATAGGTGAACATCAGCAGGGAGCAGTGCTGCACGTAACTTGCCGTGACATTTTTTCACAGCTATCCCGGAAAAGCGGTGTCAAAAAAATAATTTCCGAACCGATATTAAAAGACCGAAAGATCAATCTGAGATAGAAAAGACTTCGAAAATGCCGTAACTCAGCTCAGACATGACACCTGTGTAAAAGTTTTGCATATTATTGCTGATGGTACGATAATTATCACTCGGCTACCAGGCTTGGATATAAGTCAAAAGAGATGAAAACAAATTGCCAGAAATTCGTAGTACTTTTAACCTGATTTCAGCTAAATTTTCTATTCGCTCTGTTGAAACGATACGACTGTAATTCTTAGAACAAAATGTGAAAAAAAGATTGGAAAATAATTTACAAACTAATAAGATACACGAAAAAATTTCTCTGATTGGTTAAATTAAATACAGTTTTCAGGTAATTCGATGCAGAAGAGGGTTAATTCAGTGCAAAGGAGTAACTAACCAGCCTGAATAATTCCTTGAACTGTTTAGCCGGACTTTGAACTTTTTTGCGCCTTAAAGATGTGAAAATATCATTGCATATTATTGTTTTGAGCGTAAGCGGTTATTTTGACCGAACGCACAATGTCAAGTGCAGGGTTTGAATAAATTATTTTTGCACTTGATGCTCGCGCTTTGCCTCTGCATAATTATGATAAGCTATCTCAAAATTTTCATTTATATTATTAATACGTAATCACATGATTTTTCTCGTGCAATTTGGAGTAAATAAGCACTTGTAAATTTTTTCAAAGACCACGAATTTTGTTAGTCTTTGAAAAAAATTTACTCGTGCTTATTTATTCCAAATTGCACTCGAAATCATCTGATTACCAAGACAACCATATGAAAAGCTAATATTCTTAACTTTATCACCCGGATAAATAAATTCTCACAGAGTCGCAGTTTAAAAAAGCCAAGTTTCTCCACTGTTTCAGGGGTGCCAAACGATTGCGCTATTTTAGTTCCCAATGAAACACCCGGAGATATAAATTCTCACAGAGTCGCAGCCTAAAACGACCAGCCTTCTCTGCTATTACTATTTCAGGGATGCCAAATGATTGCACTATATTTTAGTTCCACATGAAACACCCGGAGAAATAAGTTCTCACAGAGTTGCAGCCTGAAAAAGCCAAGCTTCTCTGCTGTTTTAGGGATGC